GTCGATTTGAGAACGCAAGACCGAAACAGCGAGACCAAGACCGAGACCAAGACAAAAGTCCGTCGAGACCAAGACCGAGACCAAGACAAAAGTCCGTCGAGACCACGACCGAGACCAAGACAAAAGTCCGTCGAGACCAAGACCACGTAAAAGTGGTCTCGAGCGAGACCAAGACCGGTCTCGAGACATCCAACTCTACCCCGCAGCTGCTTCACAATAAACGTCATAATACGTAATTTCACTGGAAAGCTTTTAAAGTGAAGCAGATGCAGGAAGTGTTTACTTTTAATTAATAGCATTGCATCCCTGCACCTGTCCTACTGCTATCTGCTGCTTCTGTTCTTGTCTGCATAATGGCTTGGCCTAAAGGCAATTGTTTACGCACAGCTCTCTTAAGGTCCCATCACAGCGTTACAATCAGCTTGAGGTCTGGGCTTTGCAACACCTTGATTGTCTTGTGTTTTCAGCTTTTCTGTTGTAGATTAGCTGCTGTGCTTGGACCCATTGTCCTGTTGTATGCTCTAACAAGCTTTAGCAGTTGGACAGATGGCCTCACATTTGACTCCAGAATACTTACAGAGGAGTTCATGGTAAACTCAGTGACTACAAGGTAGCCAGATCCTGTGTACCCATCCACCAACATAGCTGGTATGAGCTGTTTCTGGTTTCCACCAAACATCCAGACATCTCCACTTTGGGCTAATCTTCTTGTTCCAACAGTCTCGTGTTTGTTCAGATGCAGCTTCTATTTTCCATTTGTACTGTCATGAGCTGTAACATTTAACATGACAACTTTTTCTATCTTTCTACCATGCAAATGTGTATTCATTAGGTTTTTTATGTGTATGCAACTTGCATTGTGAGATCACCTATGCACTACGTTTGTTGTCTCCATTGTCCTGTGGTAATCTCCACTCTTCATTATCGGCCTTACTCCCAAGTCACGACCTAAATCCAGTTCGCTGAAACACACACGCGCGCACACACACACACACACACACACACACACACGCGCACACACACACAATTTGTCAGCTGTTCACTAAACAGAACAGCGAACATATCATTCCTGTGTAAACAACAAGAGGACAAGGCAAGAATGCTAAATTGGATGTAGGCAGGTGTGTGTTCATGTGTGCTTTGAAGGCTCTTATCACTGAGAAACAGCTCTGAATTGTTAGGCTTGTTGACGTTAACTGGCTCCCCCCCCCCAGCTGCTGTTGAGACACCACTCTCAGTTAACACCGTTAACAATTAAGACAAAAACATGGCCATTGTTGAAATACCAATATTTACTCAGCAGCTGAGTTACTCGTACAGAGAATCTGGATAGTTCTGCAGTATGAAAAGACCAAAGTAGTGAATTTGCATGTTTTTGATTTAAAAAAAAAAAAAAAAGACTTGCATAAAGGATATTTCCATTTCTGGTGAAGAGTTTGCAGACCTTGTAGACGTATCTCAGTTTATGTTTTTCTTTATTGGATCTAAATCAAAAGATTTTGATACATATTTGTCAAACTCATATTTGTTTGAGTTACAGTAGAAAATGCAAATTTAACAGCTTTGCCAAACGATGTAAAAATGTTTTTTAAACTTAAGCTTAAGACATGTGCTCCTTTCCATTAATCTGACAGCATCTGAATAGGCTGTCTTCGTGTTTGACTGAGCCTTCAGCTTTCTGTTAAAAGTTGCAAAAGCCCAATGAGTTCTAGGTTTGACCCAGAAACATTTACATATCAGTTTTATATTGCACAAGACTGAACTGCGAACAGACAGGCACTCAAAACACAAGCCTGTCTTTGACATTTTTGTGAGTTGCTCCACTCACTAAATTCCCCTAAAAGTAATAAAGTTTGCATAATGACGTGATCTCACAAACTCTTTTCTTATTTATTGCAATTTTGCTTATAAAGGTATAGTTAAATCTCACTAGAAGTTCATGCTGACAATTCCTTTGCATCTGTTGTCACTGCCATGCATATACAAGTCTTATCTGTTGTCTGTTATCTTTTCATTGTGTTGGAACACAGCTGAAATTAGGAGACGGGGTTATGTTTATTAAATTTAACATTACTTGCCATTGGTGTCCAAGAAAACATTCTGCCTACTCAATACAAAAAATACTGAAGTCATAAAAGACAAATATATTTTAATTTAAAAGTTTCATAACTGAAAAAAAAACATGTTTCCTGCACTAGAGATTTAAAACTTTCCAGATCACACTGAATGACAGGAGGTAAACAGGTCTGAGTGACCACTGTTATCCTTGTTCCATGTTGACAATGCCTCCATTCATCACACATGAGGGGTGAGTGCTTTTGATAAGAATGGACATCATATGGAATAGCTTTAGCACTCACCAGCTGTGACCCCCAGTGGGGTCAGCTGTAGGAGATTTTGTCAGACAGCTGTCTCCGCCACCATCATTAAAACCAGGATGTCTTTTGGAAGAATGAAGCATCCATCCTTCCTGCTGTTGTTACAGAGACTTTAGAATCAATGTCTGGGTGCACTGACGCTGGTGTGACGTGGCCGCTCGACAGCTTGCTATGTTTTGTTGTTTGTGCCTGTTATTTGTAGTCTTACTGTACATCTGTCTGCACAGTGATGCTCAGAGCTCCAGTGGCTGCCTGAAAAGAAAATACGTCTGTAATCTTAAGTAGACTGCATGGATAAATTGCATAATCACAGTTAATCTAAAGAGTCAATGCACTTAGAGCTAAAACTTAAAAAAAAATAACACTATAGTAGCCTAGAGTGGCTGCTGATTAAGTGTTCTTCTTTAAGCCACCATTGCCAGCGGCATTTAAAATTTTTCAGTGAAAGTGTTGGTCTGATTGACTTGCTGCTTTTCAGAAGCATGGTTTGAGTTTGTGTATCATTGCAGGTCTCTCTGCCCACTTGTGTGGGTGTGAAGTCTGAGTGTGCGTGCTGCTGATGTCGTCAGTCTCTTTCAGTAACCACGTATCTTTGCGCACGCTGTCCGAGTGCGCTCTGCGTGTCTGCGTCCTTTAAATCAACAACAGGAGTGCTTAACTTAATGGGCCTTAAAACCTGCCGACTCACTAACCTTTTGGTTCGTAAATAAGAGACAGAGAGAGGATGACAAGCGGAGAGAAAGCGAGAGAGAGAGAGAGAAAGTTGTGTGTGGGAGAGGCAGAAAGAGAGAGAAAGGGAGAGAGTGAGATACGTAGGAGAGAGAAATGTGTTTCTGTGTGAGAGAAAAAGAAAGTGGAGGTGAGAAAGTGAAATAATGTGTAAGCACAAGAAATAGATGTGTGTGTGTATGTGGAAATATCCAAATTCTGGGACATATTTGCATTACCGGGCACATAGTTACCATGGAAACATGCTGATGATGCACCAGGACATACAGTATGACTTGAAGACTTTTCATCTTTTCTGTTTTTTGGCCTCAAAATATACGCACTGGCAGCATGTCTGCTGCTTAGTGGTCACCGCTTCGGTTTTTCTGCACCACTTTTGCCCGAGATGATGTGTCAGTCACACAGCGCCATTAATTTTGCGACGTCCTCATTTGGATTTTGTATTGTTGGCTTTCAGTACATCTCTCCCTGAGCTGTGTTTATGAGGTTCACCTGAATGCAAATGAATGAAAGGGGGTCATTTCCACCCACAGTCACATCCTTCCATATAAAGCCGGTGTTACATCATATTTCACAATGCTGCTGCTGTATAAAATCTTGAGCTCTCAAAAGACATATTATGATTGTCTTTTCTGTTTTTTTCTTTTGGTGCAAACATCATGTACTCATGAAAAACTCACAATTTTCTTTACTTTCAGAACCAGAGTCACAGTCCATTCTTGAACTAGAACACTTGTGCGATATGCTTATGGGTACCTGAACATTTCAGGACTGAGCCACATTTAACTTAAAACATCACTACTGGAAAGTTTGTTTCTGCTTGTTGTGTTATGTCTATTCTCAATGCATCATGATGTCTGCTCCTGTACTTGTGACACTACGGCAAATGCTGTTTCAGTTTTATTTTATATTGACACACTTGAAGCCTGAATCATGAAAATACGAATAAATCATCAGAATGAACACAGCGCACTATTGCAAGCCTTATATGTAGACTCTTTAGCAAACTTTTATTTTAAGGAATGATATGGTTCCTTAAGATCTAGATTTAAATTGTCACACCTCACAAACATGTGGACATGGGAGGAAGAGTGCATGTATAATGGGAAAAGGATGTTGAAGATGGAGCTGCCAGGCAGGAGGAAAAGAGAAAGATCACAGAAAGGATTTGTGGATGTAGTGAAGGAGGACATGCAGGGGATTGGTGTGCCAGAAGAGGATGCTAGGGTTAGACTGAAATGGAAGCAGATGATGTGCAGTGGTGACCCCTGTGGCAGCCTGAAGAAAAAGAAGAAGAAGAAGACATGTCTTACATGTGTATAGATATAAATACAAACAAAACTGGCGAGGCTGTCTTGGCTCATAAAGAGATATACACCATAAATACCACAGAGTTCACCGAGTTTGTATCAGTGAAAATTCATGCATTTTAAAGCGGTGTTTTCATGTCAATATTATAAGCTTATTATAGTAACTCAACTGATAATTGATCAGCGGATTATTACAGAGATTTCTGTTTGATGACGTGCTTTATGTCCATGGATGAAATATTACCTTTTTTAATCTTGATTTCATCTGGCTGAATAGATTTAGGATTAATTTTTAAAGTACTTCTTCAGGGTTTCTTTTTGTCTTTTTAGTCAGCATGTCCTCTAGCTCAGCACACGCAGGCTACATTTGTTGAATGTGCTAGGAGGGGGGGTTGGGATTGAAAACATGGTCATTGACCGTTTGCCTTTTATTGATAACAGATACCTGGTGCGGCTGCAAGTCGTTGCACACACCATTGTCCAACAAGGTCGCAAAGTTTAAATAAACATCTTTCATTGTTTTCCACCCCTCTCCTCTTTACACCTGTTTTCTTCCTTGTTTCCGTTCCCTCTATGCAGGAGACAGTAGAGTATGCCTTCCTCATCATTTTCACAATAGAGACATTTCTGAAGATTATTGCCTACGGTCTGGTGATGCACCAAAACTCCTACGTCAGAAACGGCTGGAACATGCTGGACTTTGTCATTGTCATTGTGGGGTGAGTTTACAGGTAGCACATAATGCAGGATATACGTACAAATACACATTTGCACACGCACACAATTCTTTTTACATAAGAAACCAATCATGCGCACATCTTCTACGCTCTCTTCCATGTACTTGAAAAAAGATGGTATAACACACATTTGTGCATTTGCGCAACTTAGCCCAACATCTGGCCTTCCGCTCTCTTAATCAAAAATGAATCATGACCTTTTAAATTCTGTCCTGTATCACTACAATAGTGATGTTTTGAGCACATGCACCAAAGTGCACACACATACACGCACAAAGACACGAACACATGGCTTTGTATAGAGTGACGGTTTATCAGTAGACCACCTGGCTCCTGTGGGACTTCAATGTAAACTGTGATGAGGTGTGAAAAACTAAAGGTAAATATCCATAGACATATGTAAAGAGCACACACATAAACCATGCACACTTGCACAGGCAGGTGCTTGAACAGAGAGACAAGAACAAAGAGGACTCACGGCTTTGTTCATTGCTTTCTGACTCTTTTGCTTTTATCTTTTTCTGCTCTGTTTTCATCACATTGCCATTACTGCTTCTTCCCTTACATGCCTCTGCCTCACTTTCTCTATATTTTATCTCCCTCTCTCTCCCCCTCTCTCATCTCCAGGTTGTTCAGTGTGGTTCTGGAGATGATAACCAAAGATGCAGATTCTGGTGGTCAGTCTGGAGGCAAACCTGGAGGGTTTGACGTCAAGGCCCTCCGAGCCTTTCGCGTGCTACGACCCCTTCGCCTTGTCTCTGGAGTTCCCAGTGAGTAAACATAAAAAGGTGGAATAAATGTACATGTTTTACGCCCTTAAGTCCAAACCAATTAATCTTCTCTTTATTTAAGCGCCCTATGAACTCACACAGGAGTTCTCAGCTAATTTCACAGTGACTGGGTTGAGATGAGTGTAGATAATGTATGCTTGGATGCACGTGATCCTGTCATGGCACTGAAACACACAATGGAAGTAGAAAAAAACCAAAATCTCACAAAACACAATGGAAATATATTTGGGGAGAAAATAATGGGACTAAACAGCTGCTGAAATTACAGAAATCAAAACATGTGAAGGATTGCTCTGAGACACATTAAAAAGAAGCGGAGGATTCATCGGTGTAGTGAGGGACAGATAGATACCTGTTTGCTATTGGAACCAGATGTTCACACCCACATAGTCTTGAGAAATGGGTGTACCCAGCAAACGTAAAATACTGTATCCTCAAAAGCTGGATTGGTGTCACTTGCACATAATTAAAACACTAAAGACACAACAGATCACATGTTGACATGAGTCATGGACTCTGAGTAAGGAAGGAAACATCTGGCTTGTTATTGGTGCACATTTCAAAAGCCAGCATCTGTGTGCACGGGACACTGTGATACACACATTAATGCGTACCGGTTTTGGAGCAAAGTATGGTATGCAGATGAAAAACGCTGTGCACATATGGGATGTGAAGAGTATGGCACCATAGTAATGGAATCTACATAATAGGATACGGAGGCAAGCATGGCCACGTCCCAACTTCCTACTGGCATAAAATTCAATGAAAAATTTAAAAAACAGTAGATTTGTTTGAACTATTTTCTCCTAAATGCATGACTACGGCGTGTTATTAGTCTAAATTATCATTAGGTGTGTTTAGTGAAAATGATCTGTTCTGAGTTAGCATGGTTCCACCTGCTCCAACTATTCATTTTATTCCACTTATCCAGTTTAGGGTCACAGTTGGGCTGGAGCCTATTCCAGCTGTTACAGGGCGAGAGGTGGGGTACACAGCTGACAGAGCCTCAGAGCCTTTCATGTGCTGTTAGCATAAGTTAGCGTTTGCACTAGGGACATTTTCTTATTTCTTATTATAAGACACCTTTAACACATCTTCTTTTGTGCTTACCTAGCTTTGTCATCCAGTCTTATGAGTAGCCCAATTTTTCAGTGATTTCAAAGTTGTGTTTTATTACAATATGGAACTTATTGAATTAGGGGACCATGTATTTCACATTAACATTGTGTTGATATTTTCAGCCTGTTATGTTTTATTCAACCCAGTGTTTTGTGTGAAAAACACTTCTTTGCTGTCCCCAGGTTCTCTCTGTTATGTTATTAGATTTCTATTCCAGCTCAGCTGAATTGTCTCTGCAAAGACAGTCACTATGGCAACCTTAAAACACCCAAGTAAAGGGTATTTCAAGCAGCTGGAGTGTTTCTGGTCATTTGTCCTTGAGGCAAAACAGCAGTTCTCATATGTTTTAAATGCATTTGAAGGTAATTAACTGGCTTTTATTAGTCAGCATGGCCAAATATCAACTACTCTATGTTTTTCACTGCAAACAAAGGTGACAGGTAAACATGGGCAGGATGCAGTTGAGAAGTAGGACATGGTGACCCTGACCGAGTCTGTTGTTTCTGGTGTCGTTATCGCATCAGCATTTGTAATAAGAAGCCGTTAGAACTGCTATCAGATAATTATTTAAAATTCATTCAGTAATATTTAAATGCTTGTTTTTGATATAAAGCGCCTTGAGGCGACTGTTGTTGTGATTTGGCGCTATATAAATGAAATTGAATTGAATTGATATTGAATTAAAAGTTTTTAGTCATTCAGGATGGCAGGGATTATGCAGGAATAAATAAAACATCCTTAAGGAGTTTCACTGGATGCTTGTTAAAGTTTTTATGTAAGCAAGCAAGCTACCCAAAAATGTGTGATTATGCACTGAGATGTTGTAATCTTGATAGTATTGTTAACAAGGAAAAAAGAGCCATAAAATGAATCACAACATGCAGGAACGAGGTTTCTTATAGTAGCTGTATGAAAAGCACAAGACTAGCAAAAAAAAATAAAGATATGAAGATGAGCTGCAATCACAAAGTCAGTTACCCTACCATAGGTACTACATAGTACTTTGTAATATCACACAAATGATACATGTGTCTTTTGTCCTGTCTCCCTCCCCTCATGGCAGCAAACAGCTGCTCCTTCCTGAGACTGGTTCTGTTGGAGGGTTCTTCCTGTTAAATGGGAGCTTTTCCTTCCCACTGTCACCAAGTGCTTTCTCATAGGGGGGTCGTCTGATTGTTGAGCTTTTCTCTGAATTATTATAAGATTTTTATCTTACAATATAAAGGTGATATTAAGATGACTGTTGTTGTGATTTGGCTTTATATAAAATAAAAATGACTTGAACTGAAAATAAAAAGACCTTAAATTATATATTCTTTAGTCTTTATTTGGCTTATTGATCTCAATAATCCGCCTGTTTATGAAACAGCTCAAAACTTCTTTTAGTGGCCAAGGTAGGATGTGGGTAAAAGAATGATGGACTATTACAAAGTAGCAAGTGTATAAATTTTGATAAAGCACTATCTCACTGTCTCGCTAAGTGAAATATTCACTGTGTTGTATTAAACACTTTAAAATTAAATCACGGTGCTAGCAACACTAAAGCAGCATGACCTGTGCTTTGACTTGCTAACTTTACTGTCTGCTATACCCACTCCAAGCTTTTATTGACGTCCAGGCTGGGTCTACTGGAACATTTCTGTAGTCATTTCTGGAACTGTTATCACTAACTATTTAGTGAGGTTTTTGTTAGCTTGTGCTTTTGGGTTATTTGAGTATTGTATTCTTTCCACTGCCCTCCAAAGACACTTGACTGTTAGCAGTGCAAAGGTAGTTTACCAAAATAAAAATAAGGTGGTTGGTTAAACATTGGCTCTTAGAAGTTTGTGTAGGTCCTATCATATTACCCAGTTTCTTTATCATTCATTATATACTTTTTTCCTTCAGTATTTCTGTTTTCAGCACACATTTGACCTTAAATCAACACTTGCCCTAATGTGTCTACATTCTTTGAGTTGCCATAGCAACGTAGCATTTGCTAGGTCTGAGGAAAAAAGTACCTCTGGGACAGATGAAGATGCATTGAGCTCAAACGACATTTTCAGTTCTATACTGAAACTGAGTTTAACGTTTGTCTTGTATTTGCAGTCTGATTTAGCTGGGATGTTTCAACCCGTTAGCTAGTAAAGCAGAGGATAGTTTGCTAGCTTTCATTCCTATCCACTGATATAATTAGACTTTTGTAAGAAATTGTGCATTTTTACAAATGTGTACATTTGCACTAATGTGAATACAGTGTTTGTGTGCAAGTTTCTGTATACCTATGTATTGTATAGCAAAACATACAGTAGGTTGCCCATGTGCCAGTTGCTAGCTAAACAAACTTTGACTGGAAAAGTGATTTTTTTTTTTTTAAGCGTTTAGAGATTTTGTTCTGTAGCTGGTTATCAAAAAGAAATAAATGTAAACTTTTTTTTATTAATCCAATAAAGTCTTGATGGTTAAATACAGTTCCACCTTCTTAATAAATTTGCAGGCTTTGTATCTTTTTGGACTGTTTGTCAAACAAAACGATCACTAACCCCACATTAGGAACTTCATCTTTCATTATTTCTTGTATTTTATTTATTGAATATGCCTTAATACTGAGAAAATACTATAAGACAAATTGATAATGAAAATAAAAGTTATTTGCAGCTCTCACATTTATGTCTGTTTATTTTATATTTTCACGATAGATTCTTTTAAGAATATTTAGTGAATAATAGGAAGAGACTCATGTTCATTTAGATGCAATGTTGTGGTATCAGTACGGATTTCAGCTGATTACTTTTTACAGTGCCTTTTAACATCAAATGCCATGATTTACCATGTAAAGGGTTACCATTAGTGTTTGTTGGAGTCGTATTCATTATTTACAGTCTAATTAGGCCTTAATATTTTGGTCCTTTGTTTGCTTTCTTGCATAATCATTGTTATCATGGGCATTATATGATTGATAATCATATCATGGCTTGGCTAAATGATTGGGTAAATAATTTGTTTTTGTCTTTTTGCATCTGTCCCAATTCCCACAGAGTAAAACTGATGCTTCTTCTGACTGACTTTAGCTTCTTTATATTTTTGCAGGTTTACAGGTGGTTTTAAATTCCATTATTAAAGCCATGGTTCCCTTGCTTCACATCGCTCTGCTGGTCCTCTTTGTCATTATTATCTATGCCATCATTGGCCTGGAGCTTTTTATTGGCAAAATGCATGCCACCTGTTACATGACAGAAACAGGTAAGGTATCTTCCTTTCTTGTCTGCTACTACACGTCTGCTTCACTTTCTACAGACACCTGTTAAAAGAGGGATTTGTACTCCATAATGTAATGTAAACAGGCATACACGTCACCTTAGAACAGACTCAGGATTCAATCCCTGTCCCTGAAAATGAATGGACACATGTACCTATGTGAATGGTGACAAGCCACTGAAAACAGGGCAGCACAGCAGATGGTGGATTAAATCCAGTGATTAAATGACTAATATCTAGCTATTATGTAAACATGCTTGACCTTTGCTTTACCATTACTCTTTGATGTCAGTGTATCAGAAAAAAAGGGACATGTTGATGGACATTAGCACATATGTACACAAAGACACATACATAAAACCACAGTTATAGTCTAAAATGGCTGACTGACAGGATTGAAGCAGCTTAAGTAACAGGGATTTGCTACATTACGACAACTGTTATCGTGGCGTGTCACGCTCCCTCTCATACACCTTTCACTCTAATCTCGCCTTCTTTCTCTCCCTTTCTTGCTTTCATCTGTTCTGTTTGCCTGGTGACTTCAGGAGAAGCACAGTAGGGTAAAGTCGAGAGGTCGCGACAGAGCAGGATTGAATCTCGCTTTAATCAAAGCCACTGTGTGTTCACCAGCCCTGAAAAATAGCATTTAGCATGTGTTTTTTTTTAGGTTTTTGGATAGGTCAGAGGGACATGCATCCAAAAAAGGAAGAGGCCACATGTTTGAATTTGTGTGTGTAGAAGCACTGTGGTTATTTGATTAAAAAGGTGGAAAGTTTAACATGTGGACTAATCTACAGTGAGTGAACTGTAAGCGTGGGGTGCTGGGGCAAACTGTAATTAATGTCAGTGTGTAGCATAATTTTCTGCATTGCTCCTATGATGATGGAATAATGTCAGAATACTGAACAGTGCAATTTTAAAGTGTGACACAGAGGAATGCATGAATGGCTCTATGGATTCCTGATACCTATTTTATCATGGATATAGCTTAAACTTAACTTTATTATTATCTTTGCATGAAGTAATAATCCAATCATAATGTCAGAATCAAAGAAAATACAGTGATGGGGAACTCTTAAAAATAATGCTGGAGGAAAAAAACTCCACATTCTCGAAAATAGATAGATTGTAACACACTAAGAATGAAGATGTAACATGAAATTTAAACGTGGACAAAGAACATACGTGAAATGATGCGACAAATAATTGAACAAGTTTTGCCTGGATGATCTAAAGTCGCTTTCATGTTGTTTCCATGTTGATTTACCTGTTTGTCTTTGTATCTCCAGGTGCCCTCGCAGAGGAAGAGCCGGCGCCATGTGCAATATCAGGGCATGGGCGTCATTGCCTTCTCAATGGTACAGTTTGCCGGGAGGGCTGGCAAGGCCCCAACAATGGCATCACCAACTTTGACAACTTTTTGTTTGCCATGCTCACTGTGTTCCAGTGCATCACCATGGAAGGCTGGACTGACGTTCTCTACTGGGTAAACCCAAATTTACAATGCTACTTGAAAATATAGTGCTGTGCAAAAGTCTTGAGCCACCCTGCATTTATTTATATGTTGTTTCCAGGGAGTCAGACTTTCTTGCAATTTTTTAAGTGGTCTTGAGCAATAGTTCTCCAGGATTTCTCATGGTGTAGGATGTTGACTTTGGATACCGGCTGCTTTTCCAGTCATTATTCAGTCCACTCTTTGTACCTGGCTATTTTCAGTAGAATGTTATTTGTGTTTTTTAAGCTACTTAATGCTGACCTATGAATCATTCATACATAAATAAAGACACATAACTTCCTGGAAGAACCAGTGTTGTGTTAACATATATAGACAACTAAGAGCCAATTTTAAATCTTATCTTTAGGGACTTTGTTACTAGCAGCCTATTGGGAAAAATGGTTTGTTTAGATTAATATACAAAAATACCAAATATTAGACAGTTTGACAGGCATAGTATTTGGAAAACAACAAAATGATTCCCAAAGTGCTATTAGCTGAAAACCTGGCATACATTGGCATGGTGTGTCTTGGTGAAACTGAACCGATCAACAGTATCTGAACGTCATGTTCTTAAGAACAGGAAACAATCCTGTCACAGGACCTGAGAGATGCATCTGGCCCTTCACTTGATCCATCTACTGTTCCATTACTTAAGAATGGGAAACTTATAGAAAAAGCTGAGGTAACCCAAGTTACACAAGAAGACTGAAAATCAGTAACATCTCTTATGAAGTGCAAAATAATCATCAATATGCACTGATGAGGTCAGGAAAGAGTGTCTACAGCCATTTGTAAAACATGGTGGAGGCTCTGTTATGGTTTGTGGATCTTGTCGAAATTGATGGAATTTTCAAGACAGAAAACTACAATCGGAGTTTTATGCAGGATGCAATTGCATCTGGAAAGCGTGCGACTGGAACTGGATTTTTTTTGTTTTAGCATGATAGTGATCCCAAACACACTGCAAATTCAATACAAGCATATCTGGATAGGAAAACACTATCAGTCATGGATCCCCAAAGCCCAAACCTCAACATTACTGAAACAGTGTTGGATCATCTTGACAGAGAACAGAAAAAAACGACAGGCAACATCCAACAAAGAGCTCTAAATGTCCTTCAAGGAGCCTGGAGAGCTATTCCTGCACACTAGTGAAATATATTACAAGAAAGCTGCCTAAGAGAGGTCAGGCGGCGTTGAAGAATAAAGATACCAAATACTGATTTCCAACTTTGTTAGAATTCCACAAACTCTATTTGTGCCTTATATCATGTATTTCTCAAAGTTTGCACATGTTTGAAGAAAATGCTGGCTCAGGAGATTTACACAGCACTGTATGTATAATATTAAAGTAATAATAAGTGTAATAGGATTATGCATGTTTTTTTTTAAACAAAGTTAATGTCATTTAAATTCCTTAAAAAAAGGAAAGTTGTTTTTTATAGCTCCTAACAAAAAAATGGGATTCGCATGACAAACTATTGTTATATAGACAATGGAGCTATTGCTTAACAATGGAACATTAGTTACAAATGTGACAAAAGCAGTAAGACACCATTCAGAACCATGGTTTTTCATGCAGGTTTGACCCCAGCAACACTTTTCCAAGCAAACTCATTTAAGCCTTTGTTTTTTTCTCTCTGTTTTGCAAATCCATGCTTTATGTGATTTTTTTGTTGTTGTTGTTATTTTCTAAAAAAGTTTTCACAGCTAGAGTGTGTAACCCATTTTTAAAGGCTAACCTGAAACCCCCGGCTTCATATTAACACAAATCACCAACAGCTTTTAATTAGCCAAAATACTCAGCACTGATGATGAGTTTTCCTCACAATACACCCACGCCCTTTTATTGATGGAGACCCTCATCTATGAAATAATGAACCTCTTCACCTCCTTCTCGTTCGTCTTCTCAGACTCTCTCTCTCTGTCCCACACACTTTCATGCATGTATGTGTTACCATGGCAATCCCATGCTAATACTGCTGTTAAAGTGGTGGAAGGAAGGAGATTCAGCAAACCTAAAAGATGGAAAAAGAGATCATGGCAGGATAGATACGGAGATGTATAAATTAAAACTGACCTTGAGCCTTTCGTACTGATATAAGCCAAGTATAACTGCTTCTTCGGGGTGGGCGGTTCTGCGGCTGGAGGCAGGCACATCAGTGGGATTTTTTTCTTTAACGGGAAAATGACTATCAAAATAGAAGTGTAAACTGTAAACATTTACACTGACTGAGCAAATAAAAGTGCCTACTGTGATGAGAGCTGTGTGAAATGTGATTATGAAAAAAGGGCAAACTTTTAGGTCCTGGTGTTGCCAGCAGCTCAGCTAAGAGGCACGTTGGATTTAGTGCGGTCATTTGGCACAGCCTCATTACTAACACTAATACAAGTACTCACTGTCATTCATAACTGACCCAGTTGTCTCTCACGTGGTTCCCTCTAGTGGTCACCCATCCTGCTGCAGTTTTAGCTGTAGTTGAGTGACAAACCTCTTTACTGCTTAAGGGATACTGTGGACTTTGCACCTCCATGAGTTAATGATTTTTTTAAAATTAGAATTCAGTTTTTATTTTGAATAATTTAATCTATGTAAGCTGTAAGAATAACATTGCCATGTCTGCATTTAGAGTTAATTCAGTTAAATGTTCCTATTATCTCTTTCTGTGTAGATGAATGATGCAATGGGCTTTGAGCTGCCGTGGGTCTACTTTGTCAGCCTCGTCATCTTTGGATCCTTCTTTGTTCTTAACCTGGTTTTGGGTGTGCTGAGTGGGTATGTTTCATGTTTCTGTTTTGAATTGTTGTTTTAATAAAATGCCCTGTTGTGGGTGCTGAGAGTCTACTTGAAAGGAACATGCAATTTACAGTATGCGTGTAATATATCTATAAAACATATTCATAGATGGGGTATTTTGCTCATTTTGGTAATAATAAAAAATGTGATGCTGCGTGTGAATTCCACAAATAAGTTTAACCCTGCACATTTAACAAATGATAAGAAATTGTTTGTTGAGGTTATTAAGTTATCAGTTTTAGTGCAGCCTTAGTTTTAAGACTGCAGAGCCCTCTCATTCTGTACAGTGTTACGGTGACCCACGTTTGACATTATGCTTTCCCCTCTATAGAGAGTTCTCCAAAGAGCGAGAAAAGGCCAAGGCTCGAGGTGATTTCCAGAAGCTGCGTGAGAAGCAGCAGTTAGAAGAAGACCTGAAGGGCTACTTGGACTGGATCACTCAGGCAGAGGACATCGACCCTGAGAACGAGGAGGAGGGAGATGAGGAGGGCAAGCGTAACCGTGAGTTACCTGGATTTAATGTTTTTTTTTTCTCTACTCTTGTCCAGCACTCTTGTCCAGCACTCTTGTCCAGCAGGCAAACAAAGAATGCAAACAGAACTGTGACTTACAAAGCCTTAACTTCTTCTGCCCTGAGATAATGCTGCTTATTTCTTTGCCACTAAAACTGTTACAAGAGGAAGGAGAGACGGTCAATCTGTTATGCATCTAACTGGCAGTTCTCATGATCCTTTGCTTACTTTGACTTGAATGCGGCTCATTGTGGGAACATGACGTTGTTTTGAGACAGCTGCTTCCTTGCAATAATTTCTGACTTGGCATTTGATTAGTACAGTAAGTGAGGGGTGACTGCTTCTGTTTATTTGTGTTGACAAGGAGCACAAGGACTGAATTAGAATGAGGAAGCTCAGGCAGGGATTGCTTGAAGCATCTAAGATTTCACTAAAAATTGTATGATAATGCACCGAATGCGATCTAATACATGAATGTAAATCTTTTGTGAGTTCCTACATTTCTGCAAACATACTGTATGACCTACAACAATGACTCCTGAAGCCCCTGGTGGGCCGCAAAGGTACTGCAAGTAGGCCTCAGTAATAACAGAAATTGATTAGTTTGAATACTCACAGGTTTGTACAGTTAAATTTTTATATACATGTATTTATTTATATAAAAAATGAATTTAATTTGGTAATAGGAGATAGCTAGTTTGTGATATTACTAATTTTTCTGACACAAATTAATCGATCTAGATAAGGTTGTTTATGTTTTTTGAACACAAATTTAAAGGAACTATATCGCTTCCTCTTGTGTTTTGATTAGATTTAAGATGGATGGGCCCGTTGGGATTTTCTGGTTCTTAAGTGGGCGGCAGCAGTCCTGACTTTGGGGATGGCTGACTTACAACATGATCATGACAAGAAAGCCTAGTGTAACAAATGTGGGAAGATCAGTGTTTTCAGCTGCTCTCAGTCATTCATAGCACAGCAGAGAATGATTAAGCTATGACAGCCTCATAATTCATTTAAGAAAATTAGAATAAAAAAACTTTGCTTTCAAATAGAAATGTGTTCTGCAACAATACGCTTCTTAACATCCACCTCCACCTCTGACACAGTTAAATACCTACATTTTTGCCTTTGTGTACGCAGTACGAATATCTCAGCCAGACATATTATGTGCCTTATAACCGCTGAATATTATCTTCCACATAATTAGTGTTAAATCACTACAGCAGTGAATCACAGCCTCTGAATTACCACCTACTTTTTCAGATACGTTCACTTATAACAGTTTTGACCATTCATGGGTCTCTCCAGCCAGTCAGAGTAAACACCAGCGTTAGTCTAATCCATAACAAATGAAATGGAATCCTTATTACATGGACGTAATGCTTATATTAGCGTTCAATTAATCCTCACATTTATATACAACTGGTGGTATAAACACCCATCTTTGGCATGCTGGAGGATTTTATCTATGAAATTATAACCACTGCAGCAGTGCAGTTTGTGTGCTGCACTACACTTTCACACATGCGTGTCGTGAAATTAAATCTCTAGAATTTTCTTTGATGTGTCTTCAGATTTTCACAGCGCTACACGTTCAATACCATGGCAAAAGCTGTGTGTTTTTCTTTGCTGTATTTCAATGTTTATATGGGTTGTAAATAAAAATGCATATAAATACTGTATTTTACTTTTATCTGGATTCCAAAAACTTAACTATTTCAGCTAATGTGATCTAACGCAACATATTGTGGATGGACTGTAACCATAATGTAATTCAGCTCCACGTTTGCCGTAATAAACAAGATTTTAACGTTGCTGGTTAGATTTGGTTACATTTGTAGACAATGTTACTTGGTTGCAGTAGCAATGACACAGAAAAAATACTGACAAGTAGTAACAAAAATATATTTTTCATTACAGGCACGCCCTGGAAAAATATTTAGCTGTAAGTTTTTCAGATTCAGAAAAAGCAGGAGTATCTGCGTAATTCTTAGATTTTAATAAAGAAGGCAAACAAAAAACAGGCAAACTTGATTTGCAGATTGACATTTGTATTCATGTGTATTTAGGCACTGTGACTGGTGGAGACGCCAGTATGAACAACTTGAACAGTTAGTTCTGGTTTCTGACATTTGCTGTATATGGAATAAGTCGAATGAGCCATTAAATAATCTAATCTAGTCCAAAGTTGATGAACAGGAGAAATTTGGGCTTTTTTTTTGCATATGACATAGCATCCTGCCATCAGAGAGAGATGAATTTCCTTAGTTGTTTTCTCTACCTTAAACATTTACCTTTTTTGTGTGTTTATTTAAGCATAGTATTTCTAATGTCTGGTATGAAAATCGGATGGCGCAGCGGCTCCGTGATTCTATTAACTGACAGTAGGAAGGCCATTTAAAATTATCTGTTGAATTCAGGATTTTTCTTTTGTTATTTTGCAACAAATGTTGGGACTGAAGCTTGTGTCATTAGTAATTATACCATAATCCATCTGGATGTGCAGGGAAAAAAATGTGGGCGTAACTGACATGAAAATACATCTGACCCGAATTACAGCTAGACTGCCTCGTAACCATTCACAGAGCAGTCAGTGCGAATGTACCTGTCAGTTTTTATGTTCACCAGTAGTTGCCTTGCTTTTAGCCCTGCTGTCGATGTTATAGATGACGACGGACTAACTTTACTTCCTTGCAGTGTGTGTGCGCCTTCTAAAAACTGTCTGTAGACTGCTGTTAATACCTGTTTCACCCTTCTCTTCCCTTCGTTTCTTTACATCATTTTCTCTCTTTACCCACAATTGTTCTCTTCTCTGCTTTCTTCTACTCTTTTCCAAAGTCGTGTTTAATGTTGATTGTTTCCAGTGTTACAGTGTATTATATAGTTACTCTGTCCAGAATTTACAGAGCTAATGTTACAGCGTGCAGTCTAACAGATAGTTGATTTTTATTGCTTTGTTTAATTTGTTTTTGCTTCATGTACTCAGCGGGACACTTTATAGTCATGGACAATCTTATGATGACACATTTAAAAAACGAATGTCCTTGACTGTCTTATTTATTTGCTGATATTAATACTAATACAAGTACATAATTTATGAGCTGATATATATCATAATTATGCCTTTATGTTCATCATGTTGTCTCTCTAAATGGTCTGATGTCTTCAAATCTACAAATTACTGTGAATTCCTCCTTATTTGGTCTTTTTACTCCTTACTGCCAGTCACTTTTGCCCAAGGAGCAATGATGAATTAATTATTACACACACAATTCAGGCATAAATAAATGTAGTTAGTGTATTATTATTAGTAGTTAATCCACTAAATATAATTCAAGAATGTCCTGTATACTTTTCTGGACACGGTAGCTGTGCCAGTAGCTTGTATTGCAGCTGTCTCTTGCTGTACGTTCCTCTCTCTCTTGTTGTGCTGTGTACTGACTCACTGCTTCCTCTGCTGTCTGGCTGTATGATCTGCATGTTGATAACACCAAGGGGTCACGCTGGCTGACCTTACTGAGAAGAAGAAAGGAAAGTTTGGCTGGTTCACTCAGTCCACAGAGACACAGGGTAAATGTGTGTGCGCGCAAGTGTCTGAAAGTCTGAATTTCCCCACACATCTTCACCAGGACGGTTCATCACCTGCATATGCTTTGCTTATGCTTTGTGTGTGCTCTCGTATTTTCTGATCCTTACCATCTTCAACACATACATGTTATTCTATTAATGCACTGGCATAACAGGACAGTCCAACTTCCAGTAAAATGCTTTAAAAATTTTGAATTTTACACCACATGAAAGGAAAGGAAAAAGAAAATGGAGTTTGACCCGTTTAGAGCAGTTTAGAGAAAAATTATATATTTTTATTTATCTGAAGAATTAGTAACACTGATATTCCTAATACCACCCACACACCACATTGAACATTGTTTTACATACATATGTGTGTGGGCGCATGTGAATGTAAGCCTAATTCACAATGCATACTTTAGTAAGTATAAAACCATCAAGATAACAACAATAAGCCTCACTTAAAATGATAAATATCCTGTGAAACTCTAAAAATATATGGCATTGCAAATAAATAATTTTATTAGTATATGCACCAACAAGCCTTAACTTTAAAATATATAACATAATTTAAAATGAGCTCCCTTAAAGTACTTAAAATGTAAATGTTGGCATTTTGTTGCCCAAAAATGTACTTACATGTATAATATGCGAGTGTTAAATGTCAGCAAAATTTATTTAGCTCATATTTACTGTATTGCCATGTAAGTATAGGGTATATTTATCTAATATTAATGTTGTTAGTTAATATTATAACTAGATTTTCAGTATTTTGGGTCAGAAGAAAAATACCTTAGCTACAAAATTATTAAAATTTAGTTCTAATCAACATCACCTATATGTTGTAAAATAAATTTTAAATTGAAGTTTTGTAAATAGTTATTTTAATGTTTACCATGAAAGTAAAACTGCCAAAAAAATACTTGTATATATTATAATGAGTAATAAATTAGTTATTACTCATTATTATTGTTAATAGTTATTTTTATTTTAATAGATTTAAGTGTATTTTTCTACAAAATAACTTTATTGTAATACATTGCTTATGTTATAATAGGTGATAAGAGAATCTAATTATTACTTTGATTTATTTACAAAGAATTATAGACATTAGTTTAAACTTTCCAATAACCATTAAGATATAACAGTTATCTAACAACACAGATAATTATCATACGCAACTGTAGAAACCAATTATTAGCACATTAGTGTACATTATGAATTACAATTTAATCTCTTAATAAACAATAACTTACCATTTTTTAATGATGACTGAGGGAAAACATAGAATTTTATCTAGGACTGCCACATGGTTTTCTCATCATCATTATCATAATAATGGCATCTTCATCATCATCATCATCATCATCATCATCATCATCATCATCATCATTTTGAGTCACGTTTTCAATTGCAACTATATTTTGTGCATGTACAATAAATGTGAATTCTAATGTGTATACGCATGACATACCTGGACAAGAATAATTGATGCATTTGACTGCAGTGTTCAGATGAACACTGCAGTCAATGTTATTTCAAACCTCACCATGGAAAATGGATTTCCAGTTCCAGTCCAATAAATAATAATCTATCAAATTTAGTTTGACTCTGGACTGGCAGCATGTATTCACTGTTACTAGATCTGTGCAAAAACCTTGAGCTTCATCTTTTTGCAGTGCTCACAAGCATTACAGCTGGTTTCACACTGTGAAACTACAACATCCAGGGGTCAAACTTTGTCAGGCAGTCACTCCAGCATTTTTATCTGACACTTGCAGATTTTGCTGTTTCATTTAAAAAAAAAATTTTTTTCTGGTGGTTTGGCTTGGCCTTCCTAATAAAAAAAAGAGATCAATGGAGTCCATGTTAAATAATCACAAGCTGAAATCTGAACTCAAAATTATAATCTATTGTTTTACTGTAACGACTGATTAGAGTGTTTATTTGGGCTTTGTTTGTTCAGATTTTAAAATAAGTCACATTTATTTTGAAGGATATTTTATCACTCGAGAACCAAGCCAAATCAAAAATGCATGGATATCAATAAGATAATCAGTCATAACATAACGGAAAGCCTGTGTAATAAACTTTTTTCCATTAACGTGTCTTTACGTGTGTGTATTTGTATGTGTGTGTGTGCGACATGACAGCGAGCATACCCACAAGTGAGACAGAATCAGTGACCACAGACAATCACAACGGAGAGGAAGACAAATCACCATGCTGTGGTCCACTGTGGTGAGTGCTGTATATGTTACTCAACACATTACACGTTTCACTCTAAAATTTTATTGACAGCTTAGGCTGTCTGGTAATTGACAGTCAGTAATATTAAAACTCGTTTGATTGGATTGCAGAGTGCACATTTGCACATGCTGTTACATTTAATTAAAAGTTGCTTCTTTTTATTCTCCCCAGTCAAAAAATTACTAAATCAAAGTGCAGGTTGGTACCCCGTTGTGGTGCTGCATGGTAGCTTTGTTCATCATTTACTGGACTTGTCTCATCTTGCATGGTTGATAATGGCATCATGTTTTATTTGTTCAGACAGCTGATGTTTTCATCTGTGTTTTTTTTCCCCTAAATGTAATCATTGTGTTTATGCACCTGAAACCTACCCTCTTTTCCTCCTAATCAACTTTTTCCCCTTTGGAATCATAATGAAGTTGCTTTTATTGTATTTCACCAATCAAATAATCCAATAAATAGCAATACAAAAAGCAAAAACCTAAACATATGACACTCATCGCCTACAGCCGTCAGTGGCGTCGATGGAACCGTTTCTGCCGCAGGAAGTGTCGCGCAGCTGTGAAATCGGTGACCTTTTATTGGCTCGTCATCATCTTGGTGTTCCTCAACACTCTTACTATCTCGTCTGAGCACTACAACCAGCCAGACTGGCTGACTGAAGTACAGGGTATGTGCTTTGCTCTGTTTCTTCCACGCTATCCTAAAACGTGCATTTAGACGTTTTTATCCCGCTTTTTTCTCCAGATGTTGCCAACAAAGTTCTTCTGGCCTTGTTCACCTTGGAGATGCTGGTGAAAATGTACAGCTTGGGATTGCAGGCCTACTTTGTATCCCTGTTTAACCGCTTTGACTGTTTCGTGGTGTGTGGCGGCATCGTAGAGACCATCCTGGTGGAGTTAGCGATCATGTCTCCTTTGGGTATCTCTGTATTGCGCTGCGTACGCCTCCTTCGAATCTTCAAAGTCACACGGTGAGCAATTCCCGCACTAATACTACTACTGACAATGACAATAATATTAATAATACTAATGTTTATATAGCACCTTTATTAACAAGGTTTGTGCTGAACTGAACATAAGTCAAAGAAAAAAAAAATAAAAGTCAAATTTTAAAAAGTCACACAAAAGATGAGAATTCAAAAGTGCATGAGGTCTATGAAATGTCCCCTAATTACATTTAAAAACATAACATTTAAATATATTATAATATATTCATATATAGGTTCCAGTGCCCCAGTGACCCTGAAAAATATAGGCAGAAGAGAATGGATACATGGATGAATAATAATCTATTTAATACAGGCATCAGACCAGCGAACCTCCACTGGCACAGCCTGTTACAGACATGACCAGTAATCCATCAATGGGAATGTCTGAGGTTTCTATTTAACACAGAGCAAAGACAAAACTATTAAATCTTAAAAAAAACAAAACAACAGAAAGTCATGTGATCTCTGGACGTACGATGTTTAAAACCCTGTCTTTTGATTCAAATATGGGGTTTTAAAATTTGTTTTTATATAATTTTTCATTTGGAGTGCATTGTAGTTTTTTTAAATTCCATTTTCGGACTTATACACGTGAGCTCAGAGTGCAACTAACGTAAGCAACATTTAATCTCTCACTGACAGAAAAAAAGCCTTTTATTTTGTATAAAATGTATCACTTGTATGAAGCTCAGAAAATAAGGAAGTGCTTTCTCCCCGATTATTGCCAAAAGTGATCTGTTACATGAGAACACGTGAAAGATCTCGCTGTAAATCTTTCACATAAGGCTGATGACACTTATTTCAAACAAACCGAAGGATTCAGGCATCCGTGAGCATATTAACTGACTACAGCATGTCTGATACCAGGTGGCTAAGTTGAGCGTATTGACAAGACATAATCCCTTATTGTTTGTTTCTTCCTCAGTCACTGGGCATCTCTCAGTAACCTGGTGGCCTCTCTCCTCAACTCCATGAAGTCCATCGCATCCCTGTTGCTGCTGCTTTTTCTCTTCATCATTATCTTTTCCCTGCTTGGCATGCAGCTTTTTGGGGGAAAGTTTAACTTTGATGAAACTGTGACTAAAAGAAGCACTTTCGATAACTTCCCCCAGGCCCTTCTCACTGTTTTCCAGGTATCTGTTTGATTTCATTGTTTCAGTCAAAATTAAAGCTCGCTGTGAGCTAATTCAATGCTAATCTGTCAAAGCGTCTGTTTGTTGAGGTGCGATTTGCAAGAATCACAACATCCAATCTAAGTGTCTGCAGTAAGACAATAAATACAGTTTAAATTATTGTCTGGGCAAACAGAATAATTTTGGCGTCCTCTGCTCTACATTGTGTTCACCAGATCTTGACAGGAGAAGACTGGAACACAGTAATGTATGATGGCATCATGGCATACGGTGGTCCTGCCTCCTCTGGAATGGTCGTCTGCATTTACTTCATCATCCTCTTCATTTGTGGAAACTGTATCCTACTGCCTGCGAAGTGTGCACACATCCGTGCGAAAAAGTTGTTTTTAATCGGGGTGTTTAGTGTTTTCTCTTTAACTCAAATGATCAGACATCCTGCTAAATGTTTTCTTGGCCATCGCCGTTGACAACCTGGCAGATGCAGAGAGCCTCAACACAGCGCAGAAAGAGGAGGAAGAGGCAAAGAAGAGGAAGAATAGTGCCAGGTGAAGCTGTTTAATATTTTATATTTGAAGGTCTAGTGTTGAAGTCTTTTGTCACAGTCACTTAAAAAAAAAAGCGTTGTAAATCAGACCTTTTCATCTGTGCCCAACAGGGATGCAAGCGCTGATAAGAAGAGATGTGACATAGCAGAAAGCAAAGATGGCGAGACCAAGGTAAAAAAAAATCAGGATTTACATTATATTATCAAACTGCAGACATGCATATGTTAAATGGCAGCACTGATTTTATTAAAATCTCTCTTAAACCTGAATGATGAAGGTGCCGCTGGAGGGCTTGCAAGAGGAAAACAAAGAGTTGTATCCTTCCAGTGAGTCTCCAGGTAAACTGACTTGTTTTAACTGAGCAATACACATACAGTATACACACACACACACACACACACACACACATATATATATATATATATATATATAAACAATATCTAATAATATTATTGTATAAATATATATATATATATATATATATATATATAAATATATACATATACATATATATATGATATATATATATATACATATACATATATATATATATACACATACATATATATATATACACATACATATATATATATATACATACATACATATATACATACATACATATATATATATACATACATACATAAATATATATACATACATACATATATATATATACATACATACACATATAATATATACATAAAAAAATATATATATATATATATAATAATATATATATAATACATACACATATACATACATACATACACATATACATACATACATACACATATATATACATACATACACATATACACACATACACATACACACAGAGACACTGTGAGCACTTTGAAGTCAAACACAACACAGCAGTTAGTGGAAGGGTGATTTGTTGATCAAATCAATTAAATAAACACTGCATTTTTGTACATATATTATTGTGCAGTAGATATATTACATGTTGAATGCCGGATTTTGAATCTTCAGTTCATAAGTGTATCTTCTGTATGCTGGGATTTACAGTTAAAAATAATCTTGTATGTGAATTTTAAGTGATCTTTTAACTGAAATTCTTCATAAGGCATGGCAATAAATTGTATAGTCAATGAAAAAATAGCAAAATGCGCAAAAATTAAAAGAAACATTTAAAAATTTGACTAAAACAAAACATTGGCACCCATGTAAATTTGACATGCTTTGAGGATTTTCATGCTAGGATCATATCAGAAGGACTGTTTTAATATTTTCCAGTGTGTGATGATGGTACCGACAATGACGAGCTCCCAGAAGTCCCGTCTGGGCCTCGGCCTCAGCGACTTTCTGAACTCACCATCAAAGAAAAGATTCCACCCATCCCCGAAGGCAGTGCCTTCTTCATTTTCAGCAGCACAAATCCGTGAGCCTCGTATATCAGACTTATCAACACATAGGAGCATTAACCAGTCTAACTGCTCAGTGTGACAGATGTATTTGTAGACACTAAAAGAGTTCAAGCAGTCCCTCTCTTTACTGCTTTCTACTCTCTTTTTGTAGGTTTCGTGTATTCTGCCATAAGCTGATCAACCATCAGATCTTCACCAACCTCATCCTGGTCTTCATCATGCTCAGCTCTGTCTCACTGGCTGCCGAAGACCCCATCCGCAACTTCTCCGCTCGCAATATCGTATGTAAACAACCAATGAGTGTGGAAACTGTTTCACTTTTTTACACGTCACAGTCGGAGTCCACCTGTAATTTTGTAAATTATGTATTACCACATTTCATTTACTACGTTCCATTTTAATCTCCTGGTGTTGAAAATGTGCATTAAACACCCATCATTAAAGTTATAAGTAAAACACATATTTTAACAAATCTAAAATTTTCCTTAAAAAATAACAAGTGACATATGAAATGACTGATTTGGCAATAACAAATTTTACAACTACTGCTATTTATTATTATGTTATTATGTTATTTAACCATGTCTGTTTCTCACACAATTCATAAGATATTCTTAAAAGATAATTCTAAATGTATTAAATTTGAGGAATTTTTGGCTCTGAAATTAAATACAGTTGGGTAAAAAATAAAGTTTTTAGAGGACTCTTGTTTACCTGAAACACTAAGTACAGCCTTACTGCTTACATAGGAATTAAGAGGGTAAGTAGCAGCAAGATGCTGCTAATCAAATGCACTTGATTAACTGTACATTAGCAAGTGTGAGCGCCTCTATAAAAGCAGAAGTTTTCTGGTCTGAAGCAATCAAGTGTGTCTAAACACAATCCCATAGTCTCTCCAGGGGTGAACGTTTCAGCAGATTCTCCCTAAATTCAAACTGAGCATGCTCAGAGAAACTACACAAAATCTGTACAGGCCTCAGGTAGCATGTTAAATGTTAAAGTTCATGACAGCACAATTAGAAAAAGACTGAACAGGTACGGCTTATTTGGAAAGGTTACCAGGAGGTTACTCATAACACATTGTTTTGGACCATTGTTTTGTTTTGACCAAAGTATTCAAGAGTCAAATGTGACATATGTCAGCTAAAGCTTTGTCGAGACTGGGTCATGCAACAGGACAGCGATCAAAGCACAGCAGCAGATCTATAACAGAATGCCTGCAAAAGAAGCGAATCAAAGTGTCGCGATGACCCAAAGTCCAGGCCTCATTTTAATTTAAATGTTGTGCCGGGACATTAAGACAGCTGTGCATCAAACCTCAAGAAACTGGAGCAGTGATGTAGTGATGTAGAGCAGAACAAAATTATTCCTCATGGTGATGTGACAGACTGGTAATCCAGTCATACAGGAAGCAGTTACTTCAAGTTATTGCAGTAAAGGTGGTTCAACAAGTCACTGAATGAAAGTGTGTACTTAGTTTTTCAGAGGTCTGCATGGAGTCCCATCAAAAATTTCTTTTTCACATGATTGTATCATCATGTTAAACTGCCCACGAGCTGTGATTACATACATTTTCAGTGCAGACTTTAGAAGCAGATAGTTCAGCAGGCTTCCCTTTGTGTCTGCAGCTACAGCATGTCACTGTAAGGAGTTTTAAATAGTCTGTTTGTGTTCACTCTGTACCAGTGCTGATTGCACTGGCACAACATGGCTTCTTCCAACACTAAAAAGAGACAATGGCCCAGCTTTGTTTGCATTCAGAATTTCAGAGAAGGAACATCACCGTTTCTTAACAAACAAGAATTTATTTGAGACTACGCACTAACGAGTGATTGGTCAGTTAAAGTATAACCTACTAAATGCTTGGCTACACTAGTATCTGTTTCATCTGTGTTTAAACTTTGCAGTATTTACAGCTAAAAGTATTTAATAAATCTCTCACTGTGCTGTTGTCTTGGAATGACTTGAACTTGTGCATTGCCTTTTTCAGATACTTGGTTATTTTGACTATGCTTTCACCGCAATCTTTACTGTTGAGATCCTGTTGAAGGTAAATGTCCTTTGCGTGCTGTGTTGTGCTGTGCTGAGTAGAGCTGTAGTAACCCTGCGCGCTTATGTCACTCTGATTGCTTCCTCAGATCCTAGGCTATGCAGACTATGTCTTCACTAGTATGTTTACATTTGAGATCTTTATTAAGGTAAACAATTCAAACCGTTGCGTTTGCTCAGCAACAACCCACCACTTCCAAGCTTGCTGCACACATTCTTCCTCTCGTCATTTTTGTCTCTATAGTCTGGTCAGAATGGCCGCCTGCTTGTCTTGTTCTCACAGCGCCGACATGTCAACGTGGAGCTTGTGCCTTTTCGGCAGAAATTTTTTTTGTCTGTCAGTCACTTTTCCATCACGGCCTACTTCCCCCTTTTAACCCTCGACAAGTTCATGGACCTTTGGCCCTCCAGAATACGACCACTTGTTTGGCTTTTCCCTAAAAAATTATGTTTTTACCATTTTTTTCTTTTTGGATTTTCCAAAAGATGACAAAAATGTATACTTTATTCACAGTTTTACAAAGGGATTGTTTTTAAAAGCACATCAGCAGATTAAAAAAAGCAGTAAACATTAGAGTCCCGTGTTTTAAACAATTCATTTCGTTTTATGTTTAATTACAATAACTAACAAAAATCCACCCAACGGGCAGTTTTTGCCAAGCCTGCAGCACTTTTCGCTTTGCTCACTTATGGGACAGACCTTATGTTATTTTATTTTGTTTTTCTGAATATCTTCGTTATACCACTGTACATAGTTAAATGACAAAAACTTGGTTAATTATTAAAACTTAACAGGAGAATGATGTATGTATGCATGTAACTAATACCGTACATATAACTATACATGTAATACATGTAAGTAATACATATACATATATATATATATATATATATGTATATGTGTGTGTATGTATGTATTTATGTATTCTTATTTTCCTTCTTCTCCTTTGCAAGCTACATAGAAACCCTGTCAGTTTTAAAGCTAACCTGTACATGTTTAACCTGAAAATGTAAACGTGACATGATTATTGATTTTTTTGGTCAATAATCTCAGTTTCAATTCACATCATAGGTGTGGATATAAATTTGCCCCGTGATCACTAAACCTCAAACTCCTGCCTCCATAGTACTTCCTTTATATTTTAAATGAATATGTATATCTACATAATGCAACACCCTAAAAACATTTTCAATTTTAAATAGAGCTTTACATTAAAATTAGCACTCTGCAATCAGAGTGGTAAGGGTTGCACAATTCTGATTGTCGTCAAAAATGTCCTCGCTTTTACTGGAGTGAATTGCTGTTTGTTCAGGTATATGTCTGAGATATTTAAGGACCTAATTTCAGAACTCTTCATTCAGTATTTAGAGGTGACTCAAACAAAACTCTGTCACATATACAGATACGCAGACCATTAAGTTACTTACATGGGACGTACTGAGAATGTAATATAATAGATTGAAATTAACATGATATATACAAAGATTTTAAATAACTAAACATCTATGAACATCTATAGTAATATATGTTCATAGATGTTAAGGAGGAGGTGGGTATGTGCATTCATATACTACAATCATTATAGTAGGATGTTTGTTAAGTCTGCTATATTTCAGACGGTAGATGAACTCAAACTAACACCAAGCTTTAAAATCACACTGTCTGATTGGACACTGTGAACACAGATAAGAAGCATTTTTTGGAAAACTGTTCTTCCAAATAAAAAGCTTGAAGAAATCCACAAATATCCTAAACAGTTTTATTATTTTTACATTCACAAATCAGTCTCTAACCTTTCCCCATTACTTGCTGCATGTCTGCACCAGAAAAGCTCATTTAAGCTTAAGCTTGAAAGTCCTTGTTTATGGTTCACTTTGTGGCTTAATCTGTACAGGAAATGAATGTAGTTTTAAAATGTTCCCCATGTCGTGTTAACATTTTGCAATGTCTGTACCTAATGTATCTATATGTACTGTATGTACCATCAATGTGTGTGTGCACGCGGTACTGCACATAAATGCATCCCTGACGTTTCTCATTTCAAATATGTTTTAAATATTGATTGAAACTTTTTCCTGTTAATTTAACTTACCAAGCTTGAGTGCTTTTGTTAATCCTTAGAATATAACAGAATATAACAGTTAGAATATAACAGATCATCTATAGCAAACAGTTATTATGCCTTTTGAGTCATATTGCTGCCTTGATCGAACCTCCTCCTTGATTAATGGCTAATCAACATGGTTCTCTCCTTTGTCCAGATGACAGCATTTGGAGCATTCCTTCATAAAGGGGCGTTCTGTAGAAACTACTTTAACCTATTAGACCTGCTGGTCGTTGGTGTGTCTCTGGTGTCTTTTGGCATTCAGTAAGTGTGATTGTCATCAAAAATTGAGCAACTATGTTCAGATGATTAGTTAAAAACTACCGTTTTCACACATGTACTATGTTTCCCTGAACCTTTCTAGACATTACCCAGCACAGCCATATGTGAAAATGGAAATGTGTGACTCAGTCAGAATGGACATTAAATGGTCTTTATCCTGCCATCACCCTAGTAGAAAGTCAGTGTAATATCCAATGTGAGAAAAGTGCGCGTAACTCATCAGTGAATTTATAGAATAAGTAGACTTCATGCCTCTTTTGTGTTTCAGCCGCACTCATGAATCCCTAAACATTACCTAAACTAAATCAGTAGTAGCTACTTAGGGTAATGGCCTAATTCAACTGAAAATTCTGAAGAAGTCATAAGTAAAAACAACTGAATTAACATGTTACATCTTGATTCTCTAAACCCTGTCTGTACTCTGTCACAGTTAAGTGGCTCAGCAGCTAAAACTTCAGTATACTAATACCTCTGTGGGGACATACCCATTAAAAATTACAACCCTTTTTCCCTGATCTGTTTTTCTGTCTCCTATAGGTCGTCCGCCATCTCAGTGGTGAAAATTCTTCGTGTTTTGCGAGTTCTTCGTCCTCTCAGGGCCATCAACAGAGCTAAGGGACTCAAGGTGAGAGTGACAATATCTCTCTCTGTCTATGTGCATGGGTTTAGTTGTCTGTCTGAATTTGCACCCATGTTTGTGCAAACACACGCTTTTGTTGGTGACACAAACTGTGTATTTCTAATAGCACTGTAACTGTATGCTTTGCAGCACGTGGTCCAGTGTGTATTTGTGGCCATCAGGACCATTGGCAACATCATGATCGTCACCACTCTGCTGCAGTTCATGTTCGCTTGTATCGGAGTGCAACTTTTTAAGGTACAGCAATGAGCTATAATGGGAAACAGGCGCACACTGATTGTAAAATCTCACGTCTCTTCTGCACTTCACTAAATTAAACAATGCTTCTACCATAAAATAATAAAAAGCTATACAAAGTTTGGGATTCTTGCACAACACTGCAGCTGACATGATCTGCTTTCTTTTTTAAAGGGTAAATTTTATCGATGCACAGATGATGCAAAGTCCAGCCCAGATGAGTGCAAGTGAGACCTTTGATTCCTTACTGGTTTTGCTTGCATTTTCAGTCTGCACACAGCATATGTAGTTAATATTATCTTTAAATCCCAGGGGTACATATATTCTCTACAACAATGGTGACACTGCGCTGCCCATGGTGAAGGAGAGGATCTGGTATAACAGTGAATTCAATTTTGACAACGTCCTCATGGCCATGATGGCTCTTTTTACCGTTTCCACCTTTGAAGGATGGCCCACGTAAGTACTGTTTTATGTGCGAGATGGAATTTAATGTTTGGTATTTATTTTGCTTCTTCCAAACTAAATCCTGTATTGCCACTGGATAGTAACTGATTATCTTGACTTTCTGTCTCCGTTTTGTCCCTACAGTCTGCTGTACAAGGCCATCGACTCCAACAGGGAGAACATGGGCCCTATCTACAACTACCGCATCGAGATCTCCATCTTCTTCATCATCTACATCATCATCATTGCCTTCTTCATGATGAACATCTTTGTTGGTTTTGTTATTGTTACGTTCCAGGAGCAAGGGGAAAAGGAGTACAAGAACTGTGAGCTGGACAAAAATCAGGTAGGAAAGTCTGTTTATGATTATTTCAAAAGCATGAAGAAATAATGCAACATTATAGCCAAATAATATCTTAATAATTAATTACTTGGTTATGAGTCTCTGCTTCTTTTTGCCTCAACAAACCATCAACACCATGGCAGCGTCAGTGTGTCGAGTACGCTCTTAAAGCTCGCCCTCTTCGGCGGTACATTCCCAAAAACCCCTACCAGTACAAGTTCTGGTATGTGGTGAACTCCACCGGCTTTGAGTACGTCATGTTTGTCCTAATCATCCTCAACACCTTATGCCTGGCCATTCAGGTAAGAACTATTCATTCTGTCTTTAAGGTAAAGTTGAACTGGGTTTACAATCACTACATAGACTTTGTTGCCAAACGTACTGACTCACTCATTCAAGTCAATGATCATCCAATCACGTCCATGGTCACAGGTGTATAAAACACACCTGGGCATGCAGACTGCTTCTACAAACATTTGTGAAAGAATGGGTCACTTGCAGAAGATCTGTAAAAACCGTGCAAGTCCAGCCATGAAGTTTCCTCACTACTAAATATTCCAGAATCAGCTGTTAGTGGTATGGTGTTAGTGTGTGGAGGTCATCAACATTCTATACGATCAATCATTACAGACCTCCAAACTTCATGTGGCCTTCAGATTAGTTCAAGAACAGTGTGAAAAGAGCTTCATGGAATGGGTATCCATGCCTGAGCATCTGCATCCAAGCCCAATATTACCAAGCACAAAGCAAAGCCTCGGATGCAGTGGTGTAAAGCACCAGAGCAGTGGAGATGTACTCTGGTGTGATGAATCTCACTTCTCCATCTGCAAGTCTGATGAATAAGTCTGGGTTTGACGGTTATCTGGAGAAGTACCCTTCTCCTGAAGCAAGATCCATAACGACATGGTGCGCAAGTCTGGTGTAAAAGAACTTGACTGGCCTGCACAGAGTCCTGAGCTCAACCCGATAGAAAACCTCTGGGATGAATTAGAGCGGCGACTGTGAGCCAGGCCTTCTCGTCCAACATCAGTGCTTCTGGAAGAATGTTCAAAAATTGCCATAAATAAAGACAGAAGATTTGAAGCTAGTGTAGGTGAATATGGATGGTGGACATCATATTAAACCGTTTGGATTAAGAATGGGATATCACTCAAGTTCATATGTATGTGAAGGCAATATTTTTGGCAATATAGTGTAGCAAATAAATATTTAATTTATCAGTTTGTCAAATATTGCTGTGCCTAGAAATGTTAGTGGTTGAACTGATCTGCTCTGTACATAATGAGTCTAAAATGATGATGTACAGTCTTTTGTCATATGCTGAAATACGTATTTGTTTCTTAATATTTGTGTGTTTAGTCTGTGCATATGTCTCTTTTCAGCACCATGGTCAGTCTCATTTATTTAACTATGCCATGGACATCCTGAACATGGTGTTCACTGGGGTTTTCACTGTAGAGATGATCCTCAAGCTGATTGCCTTCAAGCCCAGAGTAAGTCTCTTCTCTCCTCTCTATGATTTATTTTATTTTCTGTCAAAAATTGTCCTTAATGCAAAAACTTAAGTGTTTAAGCAAATTATATGCAGATCTATTCAAAGACCAATAGTACCTTAACTCTTTCCCACATGTAGATGACCACCTCTCTACCCTTAATGATGAGTTTTAAAACTCCAGTATATGTTAATAAAAATGCAGTTTGAGGACCATTAAATCAGGTTCCAGGTTTTTCCAAGCTGTGTAGGCAGAGCTCACCCTCAGTAACTTCTGGAGCACCCCCAGTCATTTTGTTCTGGAAGGAGGCCTCAAATATGACAGACACTGCTCAGTTTAGGAAAGCGATACAAGGGTTACCCCTTTTAGGCATTCAAAAGGGAAAGAGTTTTCCTCTAGATGTCCTTTTTATATTTTATCCCCAAAAAGATCAGTGTTTGAGTTTTTACCTGAAGACACTTTTAAGCCAGCCCTCTTTCTTCCTGTTCCTGTTGCCTCCCATCACGGGCTCTTTGCTCAAATCTCATCCTTCCACTGATTTCTTATCGTCACCCTCCTGTACCCCTCACTGTAACCTCTTATACTTTCCTGCATCACCCTCCTCTCCTGCCTCCCCCCTCTCCTCCTGCTGGCTGTGCATGCTGCCATATTCAGGGCTATGTCGGGGACGCCTGGAACGTCTTCGATGCTCTGGTGGTGATTGGCAGTGTAGTCGACATCATACTCAGCCAGGTAGAAAGACGTCAGTATGTAGAACTCTGTCATTCCCTCTTCCTGCTCTCCAACTGCTACTGCCACTCTCCTTTTTTCCATCCTTCACATCTTTTCTCCTTCCTTACCTTCCTGTCTTAAATTAGTGTTGAATAGTGTCTGCACTTGAAATGGTCTTTTAAATCTTTGTCGGGCTCAATGGTTGATAAGCACCACAGGCCAAATATCTGCTAAATAACCTGAAAATCTGTTGTTAGCTTTCGGGGGCAATAAGTGCCAACAAACAGCATGTATTCCTTTAAGCCAGCAATAATAAAAGTTGGCACTCTCACAAGCTCAGACAGGAAAACCTTTTCAGCCTCGCTCTGTTATATCAAAGCACAACTTTTTGATGCTCTTTTCTTTCTGTCTTTCACACTTCTTTTTTTACTACTTCTTCCTTTTCTTCCTGGCTTTGTTGTCTCTCTTTCTTCTTTTCTGTGTGTCTTTGTTGCCTGTGCTTGCAGAACTATTTTGCTGATGCATGGAACACGTTTGATGCCTTAATTGTTGTGGGTAGCGTGGTTGACATTGCCATCACTGAGATCAATGTAAGTAATCATTTATCGCACATGTCTTGCTGTGTCTTCCGCTGCAGGAGTGCCTTGCTGTAGCATCAGTGTTACAAATCAAGGGCGCAGCTGTCTTTTTTCAGGCATTAGGAATTATTTTTGCAGTTTCATAACAGGAAAAGCTGCTGCTTTAAAAAACATGTAATCGACTCAAGCTTTTTAACCCTTACATACTGTTCAGGTCAGATTTAATCTGTTTTTAGGTCATCTGAAGACTGATGACTTTTCCAAAAGTAACCAAAAATAAACAAAAATGAAAATATGTTAAAACTTCATACTGTTGTACAGTACAAACTAAGGCTGTTCTGGGTCAAATTTTGACCTGTATCTATTCAAATGAACTTTAGAGCCACCGGTGTGGATCATTTAAGGAAAACTGGCATTTTAGGGAATCTTAAAACTGTAAAGCCTGTGTCTTTATGTATTTTTTATGGGACAGTAATGAAAGAGTTCAAGGAAGGGACTGACCTATCAGGAGAATTGTGTTCCCACCACATTTGTCCAGGTTGCTGCAGAGACCTGCTGGTCTTTTAAAATAGTTAAACAGTGTAGGAATGATCATATATGGCGCACTTAAGGAGCAGAGGTCATAAGCGCCTGGAATGTGATAGAATAAACACAAAATAAACAAATTAGAATCCATCTACTCAGAGCTAACTGAGCTTAAACTAACTGAGTGTAGCCGAGATTAAAAGAGCTCAAAAGAGGGCTTTGGGTCTTTTATAAGATTATAAAAGCACTTCAGTTGCCGTTCAGTGAGTGTGGGGAAACACGTGTGCGGTCATGTAAACGGATGAAATATGAACAGTATGTAACGGTTTCACCACTTTATTTAGTGACACACATTTGATAATTATTTAGTCAATCCAGAAAAAGGGAGACATTGGTTTTTGTGTCAGCGTACTGTGGTTTGAATGAAAAGAGTGAAAAAGGATCTTTTATTAAATTGGCATTAAAAAAAAAAGAATTGATAAAATAGCAAGTTAAAAAATCTAATTAGATCTACTAAGATCTTGTTTCTTAATTATATACGTACTTAATCTGTGAATGAATTTGTTATACTGCTACTGCAAGGCAACTCTTTGTCCTTTTCTGTGGCTCATGTTAACACTGATTTCACGCTCTTTGCCACCTTTTCCATGTCATGATGTGTGTCTGTTTGAATTTTTTTGAATGACTGTTTAAAATAAGACACCTCCTGTAATTGAAATATAGAACTTGGTAGTAATAAACAGAATAAATCCTGCGACAGAAAGCTTGCTCTTTAGTAGAGCAACAGGTATTTGCATTCTTTTTTCCATGAATCTTATTTATGGTGTTACTGCTTAGAATATGTGGCGACAGGCTTACACTGCTGATCTTGTTCTTGTTGGTAAGTTTTGATGCTGTGTTGTTTGTGTTGTTGTTGTTTTGTTTTTTTTAAATAAAGTTCCATCTGAGAGCTTTTAATGTATTCGGATGTTGAATGAAGCACAGGTCACTGATGATATGTGATGTTTGCAGCAGCACTTACCTGTGAATGGTTTGGTGCTGGTTCGTATGACTCGGATTAACTTTAGGCTTTTGGTTTCAAGTCGGCAGCCATTCCTGTTGTCAAGGTGATAGTGGAGCCAGGGGTAAGAAGCCCCTCCTCTTTTATTTAAGACCCTCACCCTTCTGTGACCATCCAAAAAAAAAAGTCAAAAGCATCAGCATCTTTCTGTTATTACACTTTTTGCTCAGTTACTGCTGAAAATCTTTTTTAAATACCAGAACTGATTGAATCACTTGTAAGGGTTTGTGTTGAACTCTCAGTGTCTGTCACAGTCCCGTTTTGAATCCACCTGGTTTGTTGCATTTTGGCACCAGTTTTCAATCTGCTGATTTTTTTGTCCCGTCTTGGTGCATGGCATGACACGCGGGATTAAAACTGGCCTTTTTGTCCTTCATTCTAGTGTAGCTCTGTGTAGCATTAGCAGTCAGGTTATTTAAAATGAACTGCTCTTGACTTCGCTCTTATGTATTTGCAGATAAAGCTCTCTGTAGTTGTCCACAATTACATGCGCATTTAAATTTCCCATATGTGCAAGTCCTCCAGGTCTGTTAATGGCATGGCGTTTAACACACAAGTTGTTCTGCATGCTTGTTTATTGTCGTCACTGTAAACAGTTTCTAAAGTCCAAAGTGGGAGGCTTTTTCACAAGCATTTAAATTTATTTGGTGTTGCTTGGTAACTAATATGTCCCATACATGACTCTCATAAAGAATGCATGTATGACTGACTGCATGAATGAACGAGTGTTGCATATCTTCATTAGTGTGCTGGAAAATGGAAAATGTTCCTTTTATTTCTTTGTCCCATAATAACTCTTGCCCTCATCCGCTTCAGAACACAGAGGACAGCGCTCGCATCTCCATCACCTTCTTCCGCTTGTTCAGGGTGATGCGATTGGTCAAACTGCTGAGCAGGGGTGAGGGAATCAGGACTCTCCTGTGGACCTTCATCAAGTCCTTCCAGGTGAGACTGTAGCAGAGAGAAGGGACTCACCAAAGACCCCATGATACAATATTATCACAGTATGTTATTATTGCCATTTTAAACATGCTGAGTTAATGCAGCAACATTTATTTGGATATAGTATGATTTATCACCTTTGTTTTCCAACTACAAATCATTTCCCCTAAGGTAAACCAGTATCTGTATTATCTAATGAGATAAAATTCTCAGTCTGTTCCACTCACTTAACTATTTTTTATTAAGGAGACAGACTGAACTGAAAACATATATTAACCTATTATAATGTATTATCAGTATAATAAATATACTCACCTCTTTTGTCCCATCAAGTAAAAAATTCCAAAATAAGTTCATATGTTTGACTTAAATGTATATGATGTTTTTCTTCTTTATTTGTCCAATTCCTTGATCTTTGTCTTACCAAAACACCATAACACTGCACATTCCTTCAGAGTGCTCTCAGTCTTTTGATTTGCAACGTAAACTGTGGTGTATGGTGCTAATTCTCGGAGAAATATATTTTCCACCACAGTAAATAACTAACACTGCTTAGGGTTGTGATGAAAACCAAACCAACCAGAAGTAGAAGTATGTTGAAATGAGCTTGCAGCAGGCGCACTCGAAAAACTGATAGGGGCATGTTTTGTTGCGTAGAATACCAACATAAAATAGAAGCAGTTATGACTTGACACTGCTCAAGTTAAACTGCAGATTTCACAGCGTCCAAGTTCTTTTTTCTTTTTTTCCCTCCCTCAGGCTCTTCCCTATGTCGCACTCCTGATAGCCATGCTGTTCTTCATCTACGCTGTAATTGGAATGCAGGTAATTTGTTAGGAAATGGTATCGTTACATGAAACGGTGGGACCTGTTAGACACCCTGCACAATATGTATGTCTTTCTTTGAGAGAATCTAAGCATTAATGGGATATTTCTTCTCTTTTTTAGGTGTTTGGGAAAATAGCAATGGTAGATGGGACACAAATCAACCGCAACAACAACTTTCAAACTTTTCCCCAAGCTGTCTTGATGCTGTTCAGGTCAGTATGTATTTGTACATAATAAATGTATCTTTATTTTTTATGTACGGCTGCAGCTGTGTTGACGTTGTTCCTCGTTCACTGTTAGGTGTGCTACAGGCGAGGCCTGGCAGGAGATCATGCTAGCCTGCATGCCAGGCAAGCTGTGCGATTCAGAGTCAGACTACAACCCTGGGGAGGAGAGGACCTGTGGCAGTGGCTTTGCCATTATCTACTTCATCAGCTTCTACATGCTCTGTGCTTTCCTGGTAAGCTTCAGCCATCTGACTGTGTTCAAAGTGACTAATTTTTACACGCAGACCTGAGTTTTCACTGTCCCGTGCACAGTTTCTGTTACAAAAAATGTTGCATGTTTTTTTCTTTCAGATCATAAACCTGTTTGTTGCTGTCATCATGGATAATTTTGACTATCTGACCCGTGATTGGTCCATTCTCGGGCCGCACCACTTGGACGAGTTTAAAAGGATCTGGTCAGAATACGACCCAGAAGCAAAGTTAGTACTTGGAACCAGTTGTGAAGAGTAGTCTGAAGCATTTTCTCTTGTTATTTATCTCTTAAATGGTACACTATACTAGTGTTAAAAACGACTCCATTAAATATGATAGTTATTTTTTATAATTGTAAATTCTCTAAAGTGTACATACTTATTAGGACCTGTGCCTGTAGTGGAGACTGCTTGCTTGGTGTGATGCATTTAATCTGAATGTGCTGTCAGGGGCAGGATAAAGCATCTCGATGTAGTTACTCTACTGAGGAGGATCCAACCCCCGCTGGGCTTTGGGAAACTTTGCCCTCACAGAGTGGCCTGTAAGGTGGGTTTCCACAACTTTCCATACAATAGCAATGAAGATAATGCACTGCACTGCCACTCTTTTACTGTATCACCTAAAATACGTTGCAGCTTTTGTACATTTCACTCATTAAACTTGCAGTTTTCACATTACTAATTTAACATTAGGCGCCTCAGTGTTAATCTGTGTTTTGGATTATTTTACAGCGTCTGGTGGCAATGAACATGCCCCTGAACAGTGATGGAACTGTAATGTTTAATGCCACCCTGTTTGCTTTGGTCCGCACTGCTCTCAAGATTAAGACTGAAGGTGAGTGTGCACCTTTAGCCGCTTTTGGATCTGCAGAATTATTGTTTGCTTTCTTATAGATTGGTTTAGCATTTTAGAGCTGTCTGCCATGTTGTGTAGTATGCAGTTGATTGCCTTTTAAGCGTTATGACATTTTGACTTTTTAAGTAGGAGGACTAAGAGGTGAGGCTAATGGGATCAGTGACCTGTTGTATGTGCAGCAGCTTAAGATTACAGCCCAGAGAAACCACTGCAGCACAGTGAAGTTAATAGGAGACAGATTTAAATGCACTGGGAATCAAGTCTTACATTGAAATCAGCATTAAATAAGGAAAAAACACATTTCAGTTGAATATTTAACGAATAAAATAAGTGGGCACTTAAAGCTTCACACAGGCATATACTATTTAACTGAGCAGTTGAAAAGTATGTCACTCTGAGTTGAACCACTTTTATTTTTGTCACCCAAACTCAGTTGTTCCTTCCAGAATTAACACAAGAGGGTGCTATAGATCATATTTAAGTAGTAGTTCCTCCTGCAGTCCACTGCATAATCAACATGGCCATTTTATTAAAAAAAGGTAACTTAGCACCAAAGTAAAGCATAATCATTAATTACAACTCATGATGGTAAGAAATGTTTTGACGTATGTTGTGACTGTGTGTGAAAAGCAGACTTCGTACTCTTACTTATTTTTAACCTTGGTTGCACTTTTCAAAGGGAACCTGGAGCAAGCCAATGAGGAGCTTAGAGCTGTGATCAAGAAGATCTGGAAGAGGACCAGTATGAAGCTACTGGACCAAGTGGTGCCTCCTGCAGGCGGTCAGTGGTCGTTGTACACAAGTGCACAGGGACAAAACTGCTTTCGTTGCTTTCGTCAAGTGACAGTCTCTCTCATGTGTCTGTTCCATTCTCTTGCTCACATGATAAAAATAATTTTACAGATGGATTCTTATATGTATATATATCTTTTTTTTATATTTCCAAACAATAATAGTGGAAGCCTAAGCATGCTAAGTACGTCTGAAGCCAAAATAATTTTAAAGTCAACAAAAGAATCAAGACGGGTTCCTCGCCTTGTGATGTAGATCAGTAGGTGTAAAGGACAAGGTGAAGTACAGATAAGAATAAGCTTTATGAAACAGAAAACAGGAGGTGAAGAAGAACCCACAGGAAGCCTTTATCATCCTGTTTTTGCCTTTCTGAAACTGCAAGACCAGCTGTTTTACTACAACAAAACTTTTAATTTGTTGTGAAGTTAAGCTTATGTATTTCACAGAAACTCACCTTATTCCTTTCAGTTGAAAAGTGTCACTGTTAACCACAATGATGTGTTTCATATGTTTAACGATAACTCAAACAGCATCTTCTCATAAAGTGGTCAGTTTGTTGGAGAGTCAGTTTTATAATCTAAGTGAGAGGCTTTCACATTGTTGTGCTAGCATAGCAGCTCCATCTTTTCTATGCTTGTACTGCATGTCTTTGTGTGCATTAGCTCGCTAACCGCTCTCTTTTCTTTTTCGCCAAGCCTCTCTGTTCTACAGCTTCCTTTGTTTTCAGTCACTGGCCTTCCTTTCTTCTCTTTCTGCCGTCCTGAGCTCTTTGGAGCAGTTCTGTTTTAGTCTGGTGGCATGAAGCTACTGATACCTCACTTACTTCATCGGGCTCTGTCCAGAAAGGGAATCCACATGTGGGCATAGTTATGATCCCTTTACACCAGGATGCTTTTGTTCTTAAGAAAAACAAAAAGAGTCAGGGATTATTGGTTTTGAGATGTCGCTCACACGTGTAAAATCAGTTCATTCGTTTTCAGCAAACTAATACTTGAATTAAGGCAAGGAGTTCCTTAAAAACGCAAATCGTAAAAATCCCAAATGCGATTTTTCTGGGGGGAAAAATCTTACTTAATTGTTAAGTAAGATTTCATCCTTCCTGTCGAGGAGTTACATGTTTTTGAAAATGAAATTGGTGAGGCTATGTATTTACTAAACTACAAGAAATTAGCAATTTCGAATGATCCAGTCATTCTTTTCTGCTTATCCAATCAGGCTCGTGGGGAGCCTGGAGCCTATCCCAGCTATCCCAGGTAGAGGCAGGGTCACCAGTCTGTCACACAGACATGACCAGACTTACTCAGATCATCAGTTTCTGATTTTAAAATACAGATGAGCATTTTTAAAATACCTTTTTTTGGCTCTATATCTTTGGTCCTTTCTGAACAGAGCCCTGTGCAGCTTAACTCTGGCTGTGTCGTGTGTGTAGAGAAACGAGTCTGATACCTAAAGATGGATCATAACCACATAAAGGTCACCGCTCTCTTTGGACTCCTGGAGGGAATATTGGCCACAACATTTGTCACGTTTACTCAGTTCCCCTCCAGTTAAAATGGGTTATGGAGAGGTGGTGACAAACCGAGAGAAAACCACTTGTTTCTTGCACACAGTGATTCAGCTGGCTTTTTTTGTTATTGTCCAGCATCTCTCCCTGTTCTGCTTCAGCAGCGACTTATCTGAGAGAATTAGAGCCAAGCCCAATAAGCCTCCCTGCATGGCAGATAGTGTGCACTGTCATCGCTTCCCTTCTGGCTAAACTAAGTTTATGTTTTGTGTCTTGATAGAAGATCTGTAGAGCTTACCCTTGCTTCTATAAACCTTTTACTCTGCTGTTTTCTTGCATGCGCTTCTTGCTACAGATCATATCATTGGTCTAACACATAAAACACTTCTGCTTGTCTGTCTCTGAAATCATAGATGCTTAAATTTTAGTTAAGTCTGCAGTCACTGTACAATATGTGCAGGCATAAATGCTTCGGTTTATTTGAATTGATAATAAACATGCGTCTGCGTCCTTATTTTTTTTTTTTTAGAAATCTGTTATATAAACTTCATTTTTGAAGATTGTGCTTCACTTTTTTGAGCGAGGTTTTTGTGTATTTGTGGTTTTTTGTATGTTGCAAGAGTCTTTCATAATTTCGTGGATTTTAGAAATGAAGCAAGATGCAAGCTGCAGGCTTAAATGTTATCAGTCATCAAGATTAATCTTGCTGTACTGTACATGATTTTCTGAGAGCAAACGTCTTTTGCAGAGGTAGACAGTCAGATACTCAGCTATTATTAACAGTTCTGAGTTTATATCTTTATTTCTTTGTTTACTATGAATCTGACAGTACTTAGTAATAGGCCTGAGAAAAGACATATTTTTCATGTGCTCAAAAAATGTGCTCATGCATGCAGCAGTTGTTAACCTCTTGGAGCTTCTTAGGCAGAAAGGTCAGTGTCCTGGTTAAGCATTGAGGATTTATGGCATTTTGGGATTATCGGTTAGTACTCTTTTGGGATTTGGAATAAAGCTAAAATATTTGGTTTCATTTCCAAGATGTTGTCTCTTTTCCCAACATGCTGCAGTAGTGGTGCTTCATGATTGTGATTTTTTTTTAGTTGTGATGACACATTAAATGTTCTCTGAGCTGGGGACATAGCAGCAGTAGGAGTAACTGGCTGAGTATTTTGAATCTTGAGTGCATGGATATGAGCTGATTTTCGGTGTTGAGGTGTTTTGGTGTTGACCTGGGAGGCTTTGGTGTGTCTGCTCACTCAGATGACGAGGTAACAGTGGGGAAGTTCTATGCCACCTTCCTGATACAGGACTACTTCAGAAAGTTCAAGAGGCGCAAGGAGCAAGGTCTTGTGGGAAGGCGCTCATGGGAGAGGCTGAATACCACCTTGGCTCTACAGGTGAGGAAAGTGCAACGTTTCAGTCAGTCAATTCAGTGCACAGTGAGTAATTTATGGAGTCTAAGTGAGCAGTTCATCCAAATTAATTAAGGTGAGCACTATCAAACTGTCAGTTTTGACTCATTTTTGCAATAAAAGCCTTTCTTTGTGCTCATCACATTACGGGCACATGAATAAACAATAATCACTACCTACTACAAGTCACTGAGTCAGGTGTTCTGTGGAACTTTCCAATGAGACCTTTGGCAACATATCATAATCAGAAGTGGGGGAATCGCGTGGGAAATCTGGAAAAACCAAACCCTGTTTGCACACAGTGTGTTAACAAAAGAAGAGAAAGCATGTCTATTATGATGTGGGTGCAGTGGCTCTTGCCTTTCTTCCCGTCTTTTGCAAACATCAGTCAAATCTGAAAAAACTCTAAAAGATTGATGAAATCTTTAAACAGATGTTTTGTTCATTTGTTCGGGAAGATTTATTTTCATGCATGAGAACATCGAAATGTTTGTTAACAACAATACTAATGAGGTTTGCTTTGACACACGTCCTTTTTGCAGGCTGGCTTGCGTACACTACATGACATTGGACCAGAAATCCGTCGTGCCATATCGTGTGACCTGCAGGAGGAAGGACTAGTAGATGAAAATGCAGAGGAAGAGGAGGAAATCTACAGAGTAAGATTTCCAGAGAAATTCCCCTGATGTGCACAGGAGTGTGTTAATGCGATTCCTACGAATGTCCTTTGTTGTTTTTGTTCTTAATGCCACTTAACTCTGTGATTGATATGCTTCCAACACATCTCAATACTTAATAAGTCACTCACTTCATTGCATAGAATTTTCCAGGAAATCTGAGAATGGATATTTTGTCAAACTGTCACTGGTTCTCTCTGGTAGAAAAGAGTATGTTCTGAGTTTAGTTTCATTTATTAAGCAGTCATATTTAGTCTTCATTTCTGGTGTCTCCGTGCAGCGTAATGGCAGCCTTTTTGGGAACCATGTCAACCACATAGGTGGGGATCAGCAAGGCTCTTCTCACCCCACCACTGTCACACAGCGGCCACTACAGATCCTGCCCTTCTCCAGCGCTGCCTCGACCGAGCCCCCGCAAATCGTCAGGAGAGCCAGCAGTAACGATAGAGAAGGAGAGACAGAACTGAACTCTTCATCAATCCTGTGCAATCAACTTCATCACACCACTCATTACCCTCACTGTAATTCCACTTGTGTTCAGTCGCCAATACCTTCCAATGCCAACCTCAACAATGCCAATGTGCCCTCACTTCTCTCCATGACCATTGCGAGGCAGCAGAAGTGTTTAATACGGAGTCGCCCATCCTCCACCAGAAACGCATCATCAACAACTACTTACAGCAAAGGACTGCAAGGCAAGCCTTGGAAGTCGCACTCCACAAGGTTGGTTAAAGGACACATAAGTGCAGTGTTAAAATCCACAGTAGCTATGCACATTTGTTGCATGGTCCTTTTCTTTGTGTAGAATAAAGCACCCGTTTTGAAGTGGGTTTAATAAACACACTGCAATGTGGAGAGAAACATCCCAGCCAAGGATCATCTCTGCCGCCCTCACATCTTATATATACACACACAGACAAAGACCTTCCACAACTCTTACATGCTGGCCCATCTCATGGGGGATGAGGGCTATACCCTCAGGCACATCCATAAAGCCTTGTCACTTACAGAGAGAATCATGACCCTATTTTCTGTCACCTTAAGATTTACATTCCTGATAAGCAGAAGGAGTTTCACTATCTATTTAACATCTCCCATGAACTTACAATGGCCTCACTGTGTGCGCATATATGTGTGATAGAGCATAAGGCCCATTTGTAGTGCACATGCATACAACTAAGTAAAAAAGCGATATGGTTAAAATATTTGTATTTAATACATGAATAAATAAATCTGCCAGTACAACTGTTTACACTTACACTAACACAGTATGTTAATGACTTTTTCCCCTGACATTTCAGAAGTTTGGTCTGGCAGTGCACTGTATGATATAATGTATATCATTACATTATAGTTCACTGCATTAAAAAGATCTCAGTTTTGTAGTGTTTTATCAGTATGTATTTAACAAATGATCGCTTTTATAGATTCATTCATCTGCATGTTCTATATTCTCGGTTACATTGAGTCCTGTGAAAAACTAAGTGCACCCCTTTATTCAGTGGCTTGTAGAACCACCTTTAACTGTGCTAACTTGAACAGTTGTTTTCTTTATGTCTTTATCGCTCACATCATTGTGGAGGAATTTTGACCAACTCTTCTTTACTACATTATTTCAGATCGTTGACGTTTGCAGGTATTCATTTATGCGCCGCTTTCCAAAGGTCCCATTTAAATTGTCTTGAGGGCTGGGCTCTGCAAACTCTGTAGATTTCTTGCTGTGCCTGGGATCGTTGTCCTGTTGCACGTCCCAATTCGGGTTAAGCATTAGCTGTCAGAAAGACGGCCTCACATTTGATTACTACTACTACTTACTTTGGTATACAGAGGAGTTCATGATCAACTCAATGACTGTGAGGTGTCTTGGTCCTGTGGCTGCAGAACAAGCACACATCATCATCCTTCCACTAACGTACTGGTATGAGGTGTTTGTGCATTATACTGTAGCCAAACTTCTCTATTTTGGTCTCACATGTCCAAAGGCATTTTTTCAGAGGAAGTTTTGCAAACCTAAACCATGCTGCCATCTTTTTTTGAGAGAGAAAAGGGTTTCCTCTGGCAGCCTTTCTAAACAAGCCAACTTTCTTCAGTCTTCTTCTAATTGTGCTGTCATGAACTTTAAAAAAAACATGCTAACTGAGGCTGTCGGGTCTGACATATTGCACCTGGGTTTGTTGCAGTTCCTAGGAATCCACAGTTTGAATGTTCGGTGGTGTTCATTCTTGGAAAAACCGTGGCATCATGTGACCTCATTTCTTATCTGTAATTTGTGGATTATTTATAGATCTTGTTTTCTAGCAGGAGCGAAAAACCGACAAGACCATTTAAACATTTCAGCTTGTATCCTCTTTTCATTTGTCATTGCATGAACCCCCCCTCCCCTCCCCGTCCTGGTTTCCGGTTCCAACAAATCCCGTCTATCTGCCTGATCCATCTCCTCTTCCTGTCCCTGGAGCAGGACACGCTACTATGAGGCCTATATTAGGTATGTACATGATGTTAATGCTCACAGAGCTTCAAAGCATATTGGTTTTGTGTACGATTGTCACAAAACATGTGAAAGCTTCTGACCTTTTAATCCAAAAAATTATAAATGGGCCAGTTTATACAGTATATATGTGGTGACTGGTTGAATTAGCAGTCTATGGGAAAGCAACTCTATGACAATAAGGATTATTACTATTTGTACAAACCCACTTTCAAAGAGTTTTGACATTTTTGCAATGATTTGCAAATTCATATATAAATCTTTTATTCACAGCAGAGCATATTAAATATATCTAGTGTTTAAACTTAGACATTTGACTATTTTGTAAAAAAATATTAGCTTGTTTTAAAGTTGATGGCAGCAACACGTCTAAAAAAGTTGGGACAGGGGGAACAAAAGACTGGAAAAATTAGTGGTATTAAAAAGAGGATCATAGAGAGGCAACATTTCTCAGAGGTAAAGATGGGAAATATGCAAATAAACTGTAAGTATATGTCACTGTCAGTTGCAGCATAAGATGTGTAACAATTTCAGAATATTCTTCCTCAAATTTGTGAAGATTTTAAATAGATCTTCATCTACATAAGATCATCAAAAGATTGAAAGAATCTGGAGTGGAACAAGAGTAAAAATCGGTACTGCAGGCCGTTAATCTTCAGGCCCTCAGTCAATACTGCATTAAAAACAACATTGTCTTTAGTGCCATCCATAAATGCAGATTAAAGCTGTAGAGTCTGTATTTCCACAGGCCCCGCTAGTTTAGAGACGTATTCCTCATGAAGAACAAAACCAAGACAGAACATCTTCAACCGGTCTTTTACTCGCTAACGAGGAAAGGCTTGGTCAGAACCAGCCTCCTCCCAGAACTTCGAGAGGCTCGAGAGGGGGTCAGACAAAGGAACGTCCTTGATCCTATAGTTTGAACTGAGCCTTTACAAATTTAAGAAAAACAATGACAACATTCAACAATCTGACTTAACAAAAGCTCTACCATACAAAGAAGAAGCCATATATGAACATGATCTAAACATGCTGTCATCTCTGGGCCAAAACTCAGTGAAAATGGAAGTCAGACAAACTGAACTGTGAAATTCTTTCTGGAAAACTTGAACACTGGACTAAAGATGGTGTGGACAACTTGTTGTTATCAGTGCTCAAGCTCTACAGCTCTGTGGGTGGCATTAGCACCTGTGGAATTGGCACCTTGCAAATGCACTATTATTGCTGAGAGGTACTACAGTTTTAGAGCAGCATAAGCTCCCATCCAGAACACCTGTTTTTCTGATACAGAAAAACTTCTCCTAAGAGTCAAGTAATTGGACTTTTCAGTTCTCAGATGTTTGTGGACTGTTAATTAAAGTGGAAGGGATGCTACACAGTGGTGAAAATGGCCCTATCCAAATTTTTCTGTGCTTTTTCTGTGCTGTCATCAAATTCAAAATGACCTTTTTGTTTTTGAATTGAAAGTAAATATTGTAACACATTCGATGTGTTTTCTGTGTTCTATTTAATTTTAAAAAGGAGTCAAGTTTTTATGTTTGCAAATCACCAAATTCAGCTTTTACCTATATTCTATACAGCATCCCAACTTTTTTAGAATGCGGATGCAATAATCTGAAGAAAACAGATGATAATGGTTAATCCAATCCAGCGACATCAGTATGATTTACTGTGTCTTTGCTGTTTGGATGCCAGGTCAGAGAGCAGCGGAGCACTTTATCCCACCATTCGTCGAGAGGAGAGGGGCAATGGGGACAGCGATGAAGAGAGAGGCTCAGGCGAGTACTTCAGTGGGGAGGAATTTCATGAAGATGACATCATGCTCACAAAGGAAAGGTAATTCTGGAAAAGAAAAGTCGGTTTAATCTAATCTGAGGAAAGCGTGAGATAAAATTGACACACCAGCTACGTAAATGCAGCCGTGGTTTTACTACTGTGTACCGATGACTTCACGGAAGTATTTTCTTTCCTCTGAGTTCAGCTGTTTTATATCTAGATTGAGCACTTGTGGTTTATGCTGGTGGTTAATGTCACCAGTCTATTACTTTTCTGTGTAACTTTCTTTCCACTGTTTGCGTCCCGTGACATCATAGTTACAGATAAAGTTAATTTTCAAAGTCTTTGTCTTTTTGTGTCAAAGGCTGTCCAACAATGAATGCCATGATGATGCAGAGGGAGATTTTGACCTCGTTTCCAGGGGTGACTGCCAGTCTGAAAGTTACTGTGACGATGATCAACGGCCAATCTACCAGGACAGCAGGGCGTCACCCAGGAAATGGTTTTTACCCTCACCTCAAGGTGAACTGATACTTTTTTGTTTTTGTCACTGCACCTGTGAAATTTAATAAAGGATCATTTTACTTGTTGTCTGCAAGAAATTTCTCAAGTCAGATGTTTATTAGCTGATTCAGGCAAATTGATCTCACATCTGTGAACTATGCAGAACTTACTAATTTGTACCATTCATTTTGAATCAGTACTGTCATTGCATGGTACATTACTGTATGTAAATTATTGTTAAACGGCTAGGGTGTCATCTAGCTATGTTTTTAAATGGGTGAGGTTCATAGAGAAATTACCTCGTTGTTGAAAGAAAAGAACTTTTTTTTTTACTCATCCAATATAACATGAATTGATGAGAACTGTTGTAAATTAATGGATAACAGAATAAGAGTCTGACTGATGTAGGATTTTAAAAATAGATAAAAAAAAATATTTGGTGAGTAAAATTTGAATATATAGAGGCTAAAAATGATTTTCTTTAGGGCACAAAAAACATAAACAGATTTGAATAACATTTATTATTTTTGGTGATTAATCACTCCTTATTAAAGAAAAGGATTTTTATTTTAAAATAAATTTCATTTACACTCCCTGTAGATTATTCACTTATGTTCTGCACGACTCTGCTCAGATTAGCACGTTGTTGTGTTTTGTGTTCCATACAGATGTGTTGCTAGATGTGTCCTCTGTTGGACAAAAAATGCAACATCAACTCTCTTAACATGATTGAAGGATGTTTTTAATGTTTTTTTTCTTTATTTTTTCTTTTTTTAATGTTCACTTATCGGCTGTTATATAGGCCGAAACATATATACTTACAAATAGCTAATATTACTCGCTAATATTGGTGAACTGGCACGGAATCATTAATAATAATTCACTTTTTTTTTTGTAGTTCCAGTGGCACATTGTGTTAAACTTATGAAAGTTTATTGTGTTAACAGTTTTATGTTATATGTTAGCACAGATAAGAACTGTGTTATTTTTTTTAAAGGACTAATAAACTTGGCTAACTGACTGAAGGACTCCACATGGGAAGAAGCATAAAAATCTACAAAAATATTCATTACTGCCTTCAAGCACAAAAACACTCTCCATCAGATAATATTTGTTTAGCTGCTAGCTGATAACTGTTGTGATAGCCAGAGATGTACTTGATGTACTTCTCTGCTAGTGCACTGACGCATATCACTGCTCTCACGCTCTGTTTAAAGCAATGCAGGTGCGCACTGGTTTATCAAATCTTGAGGTTTTTCGTTTGTTTTTTTGTTTAATTAGATTTTCATACCCTAGAAAATAGCCTTCTTTCCTTAGGATAAGAATACCAGCTCATACGTCACACAGTCAAGAAGGCAGAGCAGAACAGTTAACTGGAATCTGTTGCGCTGATAAGCATAGAAAGCACCTATTAATGGTCATTTAGCAGTTTGATAAGATAAGATAACCTTTATTAGTCCCACACGTGGGAAATTTGTTTTGTCACAGCAGGAAGTGGACAGTGCAAGTTATGAAGCAAAAATTAGAATACAATAAGAATAAATACAGTACACAACTGTACAGAATAGAATAAAATACTATATACAGTAGAATAAAATATACAATAAGATAAAAATAGAATACAAATGCTATATACAACTGAGTAAAAATACGATGACAGAAAAGATTATTGCACTTAGTGTTATTGCACATGTGTGGATGTGTGTGTTTGATCAGTTAAAGTCTTTATTGTGGAGTCTGACAGCAGTGGGGAGGAAAGACCTGCGAAATCTCTCCGTCCCACACCGTGGGTGCCGCAGTCTCCCACTGAAGGAGCTGCCCAGTGCTGTCACAGTCTGCTGCATGGGGTGGGAGATGTTGTCCAACAGGGATGATAAGCATAAAAGAAAACAACATGTCATTGCAATAATTGCAGTTGTCTATAAATGTCTGTGGATTTATGATGAATGATTGCATTAATCACTACTGTTCTCTGTGTCCTCTCAGCCTCTAACAGACCAACATTCAACTTTGAGTGTCTTCGGAGAAGAAATAGTGGAGACGGTGCTCCTCCTTCTCCATCATGCACAGCTCTTCCACTACACCTGATGCAGCAGCATGTACCTACACCTTTTTGGGGCATTAATATTGTGATGATGAAGGAATGGCACCTCTAAGAACTGTTGTTTTTTTACGTTTTGTTTTTTATCTCTGCTCTCAATCACTTACAGGTGATGGCGGTGGCCGGTCTCGACGCAAGCAAAATTCACCGTCTTTCTCCCACAAGGTCCATGCGTTCGTGGGCCACACCTCCTGCCTCCCCAGTTAGCCGTGACTTCTCGCCCAGTTACACGCCCCTTATACAGGTCTCATTATTGAGTTGTTCTTGGCAACCCCCCCCCACCCCCACCAAGCTACTGTTTGGGCCATTATATGGATACACCGTAATAACATGGGAATGGTTGGTGATATTAAAGTCCTGTTTGTGGCACATTAGTATATGTGAGGGGGCAAACTCCTCAAGATGGGTGGTGACCATGGTGGCCATTTAGAA